TACTGAGCACTGTCATGTTAAATTCTTCTGAAGATTTCTCAAGCTGTGAATGTTTCAGTTTTAACATTTTAAACTTATTCTTTAGTTCGAGGATGTCAATGTTTTTCTCTTTCATTTGAATGCATTTCCATCCATCCATTTGCATGCATGTGAAAAATGTTACTAGATGTTGCATAGGCTCTACTTTATCTCTCTTTCTTTCACTAATTTATTTCAATCCTTTTTATCTCCTCTTTTCTGATTAACACCATTCCTGCTGCCTCCTCTATTCAAAAAGTGGCACTTATCTCTAGTGTTGCGTTGCGTTGTTTTATCACATTATGTTGGTTGGCATGATTTTAGAGTCAAATAATCTTCCTGTGTACATCTTCTAGCATGACCCTCCTACTCAGAGTTCTGCCTCATTTGCACATACAGCAGTCTTCCTTAGCACGTACTCTGCCACCCACCCACCTGCGAGGTCTGCATGCACTGCACGCTCAACTCGACTGTGAAGTGGACAGGCATCTGCATATCCGGCCTCAAGTTCAAACCTATCAAGCATTCACCTAATACTGATCCTAATAAACCACCACTAAAAGAAAACCAAACCTCAACAACCAAACTAATTAAAATCCTCACACTTCTAATTTGGGCCTAAGAAACCTTTTCTGCGTTCCTGCCTACTCACATGTTTAAAGTTGACTTCTCTTTTCTTGAAATTGGAGGTATGACAACTGTTTCTATTAGACTTGGGTGCTGTTCTCTTGTAACTTAAACAGTCTCGGAAACTACCACCCAAAGCAAAGTAGAGAAAAGGTACAAGAAAATAGCACCGCTGCTACCTGCCTGCTAACCATTTACTCACTTTCATTCTATTTTTCTTTTGCTAATGAACTTGTGTCAAAACTATAATTTCAATTCCCCATACAGTAGTAGTTTTCTATCTTCAGTGTAGGGTATTTAAATGCAGCTCGGCATTTCTGCTTGAATAAATGATACATAAAGGCTAAGTAATTGCCTTCAATAATTGATAGGCCATGCAGCTTTTACAAAATATTGACTTGGAGAACATTTTATTAGTATTACAAAGGGTAATTGCAGTTTGTTGCTTTATGGCTTCCCTCTGTTTTATTATTTTCTTCAAGTAGCAGTAGCATCAGTGCTCGAGTGTTTCCTCTAAAATTGCTCTTTTCAGCTCTTTATAGAGCTGCAGTATGAATGCAGTTTGTGTGCGGATGTCAAACTCGTGGTGTGCTTGTGTGTGTCGTTGGGAACATTTACTGAAACAAACAGTAAGAAGTTCAATTCAAAAACTTATTTTAGTAAATATAACTTAATTAGATAAGATTAGTAAAATTGTAATTGGACACATTTTTTATGTTTAATTCTTAGTGAGTAAGTGATGCATGAGTTTCGGTAGTTAAGCGTGTGTTTAATGCATTTACAGTCCCTGAAAACTGGATTTCTCAATTAGTTTCTTACTATGAGATATGCAGACCTACATTAAAGAAACAGTTCGATGTTTTAGGAAATACGCCTATTTGCTTTCTTGTCGAGAGTTAGATGGGAAGATCAATACTACTCTCATGTCTGTATGTTCAATATGAAGCTTCAACCAGGAAACAGCAAACTCTTTGTCTGTCCAACGGGAGCAAAATCTGCCTACCAGCATGTCTAAAGCTCACTAATTAACACGTTATATAATGTTTTACTGGGGTTACTATGAGTTCGACCATTTCTTGCCTCCTGGAGTTTAGACAAACAAGTTTTGTGTTACTTTTTGAGCTTCAGTGTTGCCGGTTGGAGGGTGTTGTTACATTTGGACAGAGCCAGGCTAGCTGTTCCCTCCTATTTCCAGTCGTTGTGCTAAGCTAAGTTAAGCAGCAGGGGGTGGTAGCTTTATAGTGTGTGCTTACATATTCTGTGATATCTGTGATTTTGTATGTGTGCTCTTCTCAGGGCTCAGTCACATACTTATGCACCCATTAGGATTTAGTAACATGTGAATCAAAATGCAATGACAGTCGTGGGGTTGTTGCTGTCAATCAAATCTGATCCAACCACACCCACACAGTCCTGATGAAGCAGCTTAGCTCAGTTTTTGAATATTAAATCATCAAAAAAAATACTTGCGGATGTGTTTTTTCCCCAGACTTTAACTTTAGATTTAGGCACATTTAGACATTTGTATTTGAAGTTAGAGAAATCTGTCAGATTTTAAACCAAGTTTTCAGGGGCTTTAAAAGCACAGATGTTTTTAGTTTTTTCTTAAATCTGAAATGCATGATAAACAAGGCACAGTTGAAACAAGCACACTAAACTGTAGCTTGTTATTCTTTTTAGCTGATGACTTTTGAACATTACTTTATTCTGACATTAATGCAGCCTGTTAACTTGCATTGATTGACTGATTCTGACTCATGAAATGCAAGAACGTCTGTCTTGTGAAGTGGGATAGAGACTCGACGTTAACCCTCACTAACTGGTTTATATACTGTACACATGGGTCAAATGAAATGTAGGCTCACACGTATTTAAGCTGCTCGGAGGTTTTATTGAAGTGATGCTTGAATACACACATGGGGGTGTTTGAACGTTATGTTACTGTCATATACGGTATGTGTTTAGTTGTTTACGTGTGTCTTAAAGGTTAGTTTGATGTCAGGATGTCTTGAGGATGTGTGTGAGTGTGTGTTTTGCTGGAGAGTGTTGTGTTTATGTGTTTCAGCAATGGTACACTGCCACCATGAACCTGCTGGGGACCTGGCTCACCGAACGCATGGATCAGCAGCTCCACGTCTACCAACTAAAAATCCTCATCAGGATTACAAAGGTAAGGACAGAAAAAAAACACCTGTCAGGTTGATAAAACACCCAGAATTCTTTGCGTCCACACGCTGTGCTGACATATCTCCGTGTCCTTGTAGAAAAAGTACCGGGACTTTCGGCTGCAGGGCGTCCTCGACTCCACCCTGAACAGTAAGATGTACGACACGGTGCGCAACAGGCTGACCTTGGAGGAGGCCACTGCTTCAGTGAGGGAAGGAGGCATGCAGGGCATCTCCATGAAGGACAGCGATGAGGAGGATGAAGAGGACGACTAGAGCCCATACGCTGACACTCCAAACCCCCTCACCCCTGACCCCCTTTCACACTTTTGACTTTAGCCTGGTTACCGATGCATGTACCAACTCAGATAGCCACTCTAGGACCTCTTTGTCAGCTCGAAATGCCTATGAAGGAACTATTAACTATAAAAATAGTACTTATACTGAGGAAAATCTAAATAAAAATGTTAAAAAATAACCATGATTGGCAGTTTAGCTGTGTCATGATAAAGATAGCACCTATCTTTGATTCATTCATTTCTAAATTCATTTCTATGTGTTACTAAGCAATATGGAGAACCATTTGTTTGACAATGTTGAGTGAGATTAATAGGTGTGTCCCTGTCCAATGCAAACCTATATGGCGCTTCTTTGTCGTATTCTACATTCATTAATGGTACATTGTCGTGATGATGAGTGTGTGGACCCTTTTCTTTGTCTTGTCTGTTTTTAAGTGAATGCCAACTGCTTCAAACTGAAAATAAACCTCTGTATTTGTTTACGGCTGTTACAGATACACTGTCGTCTACTCACTGTTATTAACATCAACAGTAAGTCTAGACCTGCATTTTTATCATGTGTCAATGCTATGTGATCTTATCTCAATTACTAATTAGACATGATTCAACAGGAATCTTGAACTTCAACGAGTGGGTATTCTAGAGATGCAATATTCTCATAGCTCCATTTTGATAACTTGGGAGATTCTATTTTTATTTTAACATTAAAAGGCCTTGAAACAGGTTCTATTTTAATTGAGTTGCACTTTTACAGAGAAAAGAGCAAAAATATTTTTTTTTATTAAAAAAAAAGTTGGTCTGTCTTTGTTCTGTAATTGTGTAGAATGAGATGTCTGGCATTTGTTTGGGTCTCACTGTTGTTTTGTATATATTATATAAATATATATATAAATATAAAATGCTGTACATTGCATTCTGAGCCATCGCTGCATGCCTGTGGGTTCCCACCCTCCCCAAACGCTTTCTGTTTTCTGTGTGAATTAGCTGGTGGATTCATTCTTGCTTTTGCCTTATGAAAGCCAACAGTTGTAATATGCAAGAGCTGTGGCCTCGAAATAAAAATTACTGTACATGTGCATCCTCTGTCATGTTTACTAGCTGCACATCTACCTGAGACACAATTATAGACACACCAAACTGTACTTACAGTGTTTGTTTGGCAGTACATTTACTCAAGTAGGTACTTTGGCACTTCAGATGGAGTCAAATTTGAATACACAAACATGATACACATATTTGTTTGTGTTTAGTAAGTTCCATAAATCTGCAGAAAGAAATCTGAGAAAATTACTCTTCTTATTACTTTTTAGGTTGTGTTCAGTATCAAAGTGATCCAGTGGTGGTTGTCAGTACATTCATGGTTACATTGCAAATAGCAACTGAATATAGCTTATTCTGCATACTGTTAATGTTGCCAATTTGCCCAAATTTAAAGGCTTAAAGGGTAGTGCTCCATCTTCTGCTACTTTATACCTCAATTCCAAATACATGTCATAGTTACTCTACACATTAAGAAGTGACATACAAAACCTAGGATCCTATACTTTGAAAATGTATGAATTATGATGCATTGTAATAGATTACACTACCCAATAGTATATAGAGCCATCCTCCTCCAACCAACACCTAATGGCGTCGTTAATAATAATGAAATGACCCATTTTGCCTAATAAGTACTTTTCGATTAACACTTCTATAAATCAGTTTGCATTCAGGACTTTTACATGTAATTGAGTATTTCCACAGTGTGGTATTTCTACTTTTACTTGACTACAGGATCTGAACACTTCTTGCAGCACTGTTGTTTGGTGACAGACTGACAGCAGGGGGCGACAGGACGAACAGGTTGCTTTCAATCCCACCAGTTTAAATCAACACTCCTCCATCAGTATTTTGATTTAACACAAGGATGCTGTGCACCCAAACCCAAACTTTATTTAATGTATAGCAATACAGTTAACCTATTAAATAACACTATTACACTATAATATTGTATATGACAGCATCATAGAAATACAGGGCTATGATATTATCATATAAACATGTGATATGATGGACAAAACCATTTTATTACTTATTTAAGTTACAAAATAGACTTAACTACCAACGTGGCTGAAATGGACTGAGGCTAACATACTGGATCCCTGGACCATTGAGCAAATGTCAGGAAAATCTGGTTTAAATATTGGCATGGTCCTCAGAGGGGCAGGTGGGGATTTGCTGTGGAGATTTGGATAATACATTTCCCACTAAAGTACAATCTGTTACAGGGCCACTTTACAAACCAAGTCTTTGTATGAAAATATAAACCTCTATGATCACAAATATTACATTAAAGTCAAAGACATTTGCTTTGAAGTGAATGTGTTTAGCCACAGCAACCATGTTTCCAATGAGAGTAGAAATATCAAACAGAAAAGACGTTGGCGTTCACTCAAAATACAAAAACAGTTGCTGCAAAGAAAGGTTTTGTTGCACAGCTAAGTGATCAGCAATCTGGACTTTTCTCCAAATGTTGGAGAGTTTTCACTGAATTTAGCAAACTCCCCTTTAGTCAGAGAAGTGGGTGAGGGGGAAAAAAAAGTTTTCATCAGAGTATGAAGATACACATGAATCAATCAAGAGATAGGGATGTTCAGGGTTGAAAAGGGCTTATAATTAAGAGCCACAAAATAGTGCGGAGACAGAATATCAGCCCAAATAAAACACATTTTACAGTCTGAATTTTAAATCTTACTGTCTAATGTGAGGACAGCTTCATGATTATCTTCTGTAATCCTGAGGCTAGGACAGAAACATGCTTTACTCTGGTTTAATTTACACCTCTGACACTGGTAATCTACACTGCAAGATTGAACAATTTTGATTTTAAATTCTAGTTGATTAAATAGATGTCAGGATAAAACCACTTACATGTTGCAAACTGGAACCACATCTTTGGTTACAAATAAAGCATCAACCTCGCCCAAAAAAAGAGACTACATTGCCTATAGAAAGTATTCACCTCCTTTGGATTTTATCATGTTTTATTTATTTACAATTTTAAATCACAGTGGATGTAAATAGGATTTTTTTTAAAGAAAAAAACTCCTTATTGTCAAAGGAAAATGAGCTGGAAAAAGTCTGGCGCTAACATAAACACACGATTGCACAAGTATTCTTTTCTTTACTATGGACATCATCTGTGTGTAATCAAGGTGTTATTTTAGGTTAAATATAACTGCATCCAACAGCTATTTAGTCAATTTCCTGGCAAAAACTGCATCATGAAAACAAATTAATACTCCATCTCAATATCCCCACTCAATCTGGGGCACGTTTACCAAAAAGTACTAATCAAGAACATTTCCAAGGCACTGGATTTCCCTATGTGATTATAAAAATGAAAGCTCTGCCTAGAGGAGGTCATCCTGTGTTTGGAGAGGGGCACAAGTGACACAACAAACAAGCCCAGAGAGTTCTGAAGAAGCTGCAGGGTTTCATGGTGTCCAGGTGTTGCCGTAACAAGTTGCAGCTTTGTGGAAAAGTGGTAAAGTCCAACCCTCTGGGGAAAAATAAAGCCACAGCTCCACAAGAATGTCTTCTCAGTGTCTCTGACTGGCGTGGCCGAGTCTAGACCTTAATCCAGTCCAGAGTTAGTGGCAGGACTTGAGATGTTGCTGGGGTGTTTTTGATAAATTACGGGGGTGAATACTGGTGCAATCAATGTTGGGTTTTCTATTTGTAATTAATTTAAAAGAATGTTTTCACTTGACCACATTAAAAGGACCAGTGTGTAGGATTTAGTGGCATTAAGTGTTGAAGTTGCAGATTTCAAATAACTGAACACTGCTTGTGTCTGTATTCGTCTTCTACGGTGCTGCAAAACTTGCAAAGAACACAAAAGGCCCCATCTACAGCGGGTGTTTGGTTTGTCCGTTCTGGGCCACTGTAGAAACATGGCGGGTCAACATGCAAGGCCACCAATGGCGTCTGTAGATAAAAATGGCTACTCGTACGGTAATGAAAACACAGCAATTACTATATTCAGGTGATTATACACACACACACCGACACACATTATACAGAAATGTTCCACACTGGACCTTTAAAGTAGTTTCTTCTGTTTATCGGCGTCAGAAATTAATCATAATTACATCCACTGTGATTTAATGCTGTAAAACAATAAACATGGACATTTGTGTGGGGTGAATATTTTTTGTAGACATTGTACATTCAGATACCCATTACATTTGTTAACAGTTGAGCTTTGACAGTTGAGGTTAAAAAAGCTGGAAAAAAGGATGGAAAAAAAAAAAAGAAGCTTTGTAGATAATTCATGGCAAGCTGCAGAATCTCAAAACAAATATGGATCTACATCAAGGCAAGTGGACAAGTAGGCAAAATTACAAAAAAAAAAAGGAAAGCATTGGCTGGCTATTAAGGATATAATATATATATATATATATATATATGTTACAAAACAATATAACAATATAAATCCCTGTAAAAAGCAATAAATGTTCACATTAGATGTTGAATCACACTTAAAAATAAGCCATAAGTACATTATACAAGACAGCAGTGAGATATTTGAACAATATATGAATATTAGGCAGGTAATAGTCTCTTAACGTGTGATAAAGAGCTTCACCCATGTGGAGCGGGGCCTAAAAACAGTTAGTTTGATCGAGATGACAAAGTGACATAATGCATGCTGGGCTACGTTGTGATGTGATGTTTTGTTTTTGAGACATTATTGGAGGTGGATCGCCATAACTCATCCTGGTCTTCATGCTTCAGGTTGTGTCTCAATGCGGTCCAAAGATCCCCAGTTGTGTGGTGATGTCAGGATTTCACTGTGAAACTGTTTCACTCACTGGATTTAGGCAGTAACACTGATAGTATAGTGCAAACTGGACAGAGCTGCTTTTTCCTCACGTCAACTTAAACAGGTGCAAACGCTCAGCAGGATAACATTTAAGACAAGAAATAAAGGACAAAAACATAAATATCAAAAAACTTTTATCAGTATAAAAAGTAATAAGGTTATTCATTTAATCAATAGTCTGGCAAAAAGGCCTCAGAAAAGTTTTTCGAGTTTTTTTTTTTTACAAATTAAGTGCCTGTAGGAATGTCCTCAGACGAGCGACTCCATGCTCTCAGCGGGGTCCGACTCGTCTGCAATCACCACCACCCCGTTAGTGTCCATGTGCATGGGGCTCAGGCCGCACTCGCTGTTACTGACCAGGCTGAGCATGGCTTTGTAAAGGTACTGGTACTCCTCCTGTGCACACAAAACACACAACAGGTTAACATTTTAGATCACATATCCTTCCCCATGCTACAAAACTTTAAAACTCAGATCATAACATTTCTTTAAATCGGCAATAATCAATCATTTTGATACAAACATTAACTCAAATGACTAATGTGAAAGAGTTCGCTCGCATTGACGAACCCAACAGAATTAACAGCCAACTTTAGACCTTTTTGGTTTGGTCTGGACTAATCTCAACAGTGAAAAAGCAGCACTAAATGACAGACAAAGTTTCCAAGTGACTTGTGAATATAGTGGAGCATGTAGCAGCTAAAGCCCCAGATATTTCAGTCAGGAGTGGATGGAAACTGAAAACTGAGCTGAATATCGGACTCGCTTTGAACAGGTGGTGAAAAACAGGACTCTGGATGAATTCTAATGTTGTGTCTGCTGGTTGAGAAGTGGGCTTGTTTGCAAACATCTCAGCCATAACCATTGCAAGTTCACACTTTATAAGAGCTTGCTCAAAGTTCAGTTCATACAGATTATAATAAACAGCTCACGTTCATAGTTCACAATATGGAATTTTAAATGAAGATCACAGTCCCAAAAAACACTTCATGATAATTTCTCCCATTTAAAAAAAAAAAAAAGAGCTTCTTTACAAAATGCTGTGATTTGGTTTGAAGACATTTGCAGTTGTTGGCTCTGATTCCTTTGTTAATGATTTCTTGTGATCATCATTCACTTAATGAGCTGGCTTTCCACTGTTTTGTTTTCCTCTCTCTTCAGTGGTTCCACCTGGCATAGTGACAATCCTTTTTTCTGCTCAAAATGAGTTCTTACTCAGCAGCGTGAGTGTTGTTATGTCTCGCGGGTGTTAGCGACAGTGTGTCCGTCTGCTGGGCAGGTAGTAAACAGGGCATTTATTTATCATTTGTTTTTGTTTTTTCTGAAAAAGCTGCCTGCAGCTGCTGGAAATGAGGACTAGCTGAGAGGAACGTATGTATTTGACATAAAAGTTGACTTACTATATCAGTGAAGACTCCCGGCCTCATGAGATTGATCATCTTAGCCACCTGGTAGATGTCGACGACGCCTTCGTTCTCCAGCTGCTGGGACAGTGTGGTGAGAGCACAGAACATGCCTGCTGACACTGCTCCATACCTGTGTGGAAATGTTCAAGATCAGCTCTGCGGGACAACCGGCACAACTGTCTGTCTAAACATCCTGTTCAGGTGTTCTTAAAACAACGTCAGAACTCCAAAATCCTTAATTTAACTCTATTACAAATGACAATGTGTAGGGTTGCTAGTTTTAATGCTAGGGCCTCATCAACACCTTAACTAACTGCAGACTGTGAAGTTCTTAACATATGTGCACACCTCTGCAACCAACAAGTAACTGACAAAATAAAACACATTACAGAAAATGAAAGGATAAAATGTGCGATATAACTATTTCCACATTGTTAGCAATTAGCATCCCATCATGTTAGCATCTGGTGTAAATGGGTGAGGAGACAGATTGTGACAACTTCAGATCTGTGACAACTTCAGATACAGCTTTATAAGTAAATGAGGGAGGAGGTGTGATTGATTATCAATTAGCTGATGTTTTCACTGATATCAGCCGAGGTGCTGAAGGGGCAGGGGTCTGAAGGAAAAGACGTCAGCTGGGAACAACTGTACAGGTTATTATGGTTGCCTGGTTAGAGACTTAAGAGTTGTGCTTTTGTTTATTGTGTTAGCTGCCTGTAGGTTCTCAGTGCCGGCGTACGCTAACAGCCTTTCAAACCCCAAGCCATGGAAAAGTCTTCACATTTACTGGCTAGTGCAACAAGAACAAATCAAATGGTAAACAGTCCCAGAATTCTTTTGCTACTTCTAAACCCTTAAAATCCAGATGCAGCCTTCGGTCTGTTTGTGTACACCAAAGACAATAAGCAAGACCAACAATGTGGTAAAAATCAAATATATCTTATTTTACAGAGTCCTGGACTAGTTTATGACTGAATCTCAGGAGAATAAACTCAACCATGATGAAAACAGATTTCTTTATGGTCTCCAACTTGAAAACCATGGATAAAATCGTTGTGTGTTTGCCCTTACAAATAGACCTTCTCTGTTAGCAGAGGATAACTTAGTGGCAAGACAAACGTACTCATCGTGCACGATGGTGGGGCCATCTCGAGTCATGGCCTCCTCCTTGATGACACTGATGAGCTCGAAGGTGCTGCTGAGAGGGGCATCGGGGTTGGGCCATTTAGGGCACTGAAAATGTCTCACCTCCAGAACGTAGTCATCCTGTCGCACACAGAAAGGGAGTGAAACAAACACACATGACATATATAATGTAATGCCTTTTTGGGATTGTACACATCAAAGAAATCAAACACCACCAACACCCTGACTTGTGATGCGTCACACCACAATAATCAAACGCTGAGTATGGTACATGTAACGAGGCAGAGCTTCAAGTACCTGTGTGGCCTCAAGGATGAAGTCGTGGATTATGATCTGCTCCTCATTGGAGAGGCACAGTCTGTCCTTACTGATGAGTGTGACAGTGAAGGCAATGCAGTTCATGGCCTCTTCTCTACTCGGCCAGTAAACAAATTCATCCTCAGCCTGCAGAGAAGCAACAGCAAGTCAAACAAGGTATGCTGCATTTACATTTATTCATTAAGTCTAGCACGAGTCTAGCACATTTTATTGATTAATCTGTCATTATGCTTCCTGTCTGTATGTAGACTGGATGCAGATTGCCCCTAAATTAGACATAAAACAGAGGGAAGATAATCACAAGATCATTATTATGTTTCAGGGTTACTTACCAGGCCCTGGTTGTCAGGCAACATGACGATAATTTGAGCATTATGGTCCCAAATCATCCTCCAGAAATCTGTAGTGGTGTGGGGTAAAGGATGCTGGGTAATGATGAATTCATTACTCCTGAAGTAGCCCTGAGGTGACAAGAGGTGAGCAGTTAGCCTCTCTAAAGCTCATACAGATGGATGACTACGAAAGTTGACAGACCACTGATTTTTCTAGGAAACTGTCATCAAGAACGTCAGACCTGTCAATAAAGTTCCTCAAAATACCCAGTGAGCCTGACTATCACACCGTACCATTATGTAGGATGCATTAATGTAATCTGTTCCTTTCATTCCAGGCAGAGTGGTGAGTCCGACCCTTGCTCGCTCCGCTGTGGAGAGGCAGAAAGATGGAAAAAACACACTTTAAAATCGCACACCCAGGCCTCTGTAATATCACACTCGCTGATAATGCACACATTCATTACCAGTCCTCTCTGTTGCTATAGCAACACATACTCCCCCTCCTCCCTCATGAGAGTGCAGGGAACACATAGAAAGATTAACTTATAGGATTATGGAAATAGATTCTAATTTTGGAATATGAAAAAAAAAAACAGGAAAATGTAGAATATTAAATGAGGAAATGCTGTGAGTCAGAGCCTTATTTCCTGTTATTTTAAAAAAGGAAGGAAAATTTACCAACAGAGAACAGATTGATTGAATTTGTGAAAAAATGCTTTTTAATTGTTTCAAAATGTAAACGTATCCTTCAAATTTAAACATATTGTTGCTGTATGACTCCTTTTAAGAGAGCCTCCCCTATTACTCTCTGTGTAAACCCGCAGTAACCAGCCCTCCTCACACCGCTGAATGCGCCTGCTTTACATGTTCGACAGAGCTTTGGTTCTCCAAGACCTAAGCACCATTGCAAGTGCGCTGTGGTAAAACAGATAACATACTTACAGGGAACCACTGAGGAATTGCGGTTCTTCTCCTTGTTGCTGTCTTTGTGGGCACTGAAGCACTCCACAAAGCGTGAGTTGCACTGAGTCAGAAGCTGGGGTGAGAGAGAAGGCAAAGACCAGAAGATCACATGTTAGTCCCTGTGAGTTTAAGTCAAAACATTAAAAATAAAGATATATTGTTGTTTAACACCCAAGATTAGCATACATTTTCACACAATAATAATGAGCATGTGAAGCTCAAGAGGAAGTGACATTATGTGCGGGCAATTAGTTTCTCTCTCCTGATGTCGAGAGAGCAGGAGCTTGATGAAACATTCATCAGGCTTTGCATGAGACAGCAGGGGTGACAGACATGACTTTATTACAGCCAACATCAGAGACGCTCTCCAACTAAACCCGCCTGCAAATGGAAAGTCACCATGCAAGCTGAACTAACAAGCTTCTGATCCAAAGACCTCCTCGATAACTGCCGACGGTGACAGCGTCTAACTGGACCAGTCAAAGCTCCCAGAAGGTTTACTCACCCTGAACTGCTTCTCCAGCTGTGTGCGGCCTGTCGAGTTGGGTGTGAGGATGCTGTTGACATAACTGTGCAGCTGCCAGGCAGGCACCTCTGTCTCTGTGCTCAGGATGTCCTCCATCAGAGCATCGTGGATGAAAACATACTGCTCCTGAGGGAAGACAGACAGTAAAAGTTTGGGAAATAATAATAATAAAATGAAATAAAAGGGACATGAGGAAAAATGGCATTGTGACATAAAAACAGACATTGAAAAACAATTGAAATAAAGAGCTGCAATCAGTGGTGGAAGAAGTACTTTTCTTTTACTAAAAAGTAATTGTAACAATAGCCTTTTCCCATTCGAGTGCTGTCTTGGCTTGACTGGCGCATTAGCGCAGCGCAGCAGGGATTTGCATTTCCATTACAACAGGGCTAACCGCTTGAAGGTTTCTCTTTACAGGCAGAGAGCAATGATTGAAAGAAGAGAGGGGCCAGAGTTAGCTGGGTGTGGTTTGGCACAAATTGTTGCATTTAAACTGGTAATGGAAATGCAAATCATTGTGGCATGGTTCGACTTGGCATGGCCAAAAGTCCCAATAGAAAAGCCCTAACAGCGTAAAAATCCTCTGTTACAAGTAAAAGTCATGCACTTAAAATTGTACTCAAGTCAAAGTACATATACAAGTATTAGTATCAAAATATACTACCAAAAGAAAGAATTCATTATGCAGAATGGCCCATTTCAGAATCATATGTATTATATTGCTGCTGCATAAATGTAGAGTAGTAAAAAGTAAAATATCTACCTCCAAAATGTAGTGGAGTAGAAGTATGGAGTAGCATAAAATGGAAATACGTATGTAAGTACAAGTACCTCAACACTGTACGAACCGTGCATTTCAAGTTTCATTGGATTATTTCACAATCAAATTATTTTATTATATATTTTATCTCTATGTCTTATTTCAATGTTTTTTAATTTTTTTAATTTTGAACACTCTGGATCTCCTTAAGAGGAACCAGAAAAAAACAGTTGGCAAGAAAGCGAAAAAGAAACATCAGATTAAAAATTTGATTTGATTGATTGATGTAAGTCCATGCACCATGACCTTTTTAATGTACAACATGAGGGAGGTTTTCGTGTTTCTTACCTCAGTCTGAACTAGGTAGTTGCGTTGTGTGCGGATATGTTTGAGAAAATCCAGGACGCTGACTGTGCTTTTGTCCTTGATCTGCTGTAGCATGCTGTCAATGACAATGTATGTTCCTGTGCGCCCAACCCCTGCACTGAGGAGCAGAGCACAAAGCAATATGAGCATAATGGCAGGCCCATAGAGGGAGCTGTAAACCAAATCAGCAAATATGAGAATCTCATAAGTAACATTCATTTAGCCCGGGAGCTCGGTATTGAGTACTGTACCTGCAGTGCACCAGGACGGGGCCCATGTCTGCAGTGCGAGCTGCTGATGAGCGGTTGATGAAGGTGAGGACAGGGAGGGTGTACTCTGGTACTCCCATGTCAGGCCACTGAGTGTAGTGATACTGGACCACAATGCGCTCATTTAGCTTCCCTTTTGGGTTCCCCTTCTGGCCCTAGAACATGAGAGAAGATTTTAATTACATACCACAAAAATAACTCTTATCTACCCTTAACTTACCTTCCTACCACTAACTCTGAGCACACACAATAAAATAAAGTCACTCCTACACAGGATTAGCAGGTATGATTAATATATCACTTGGCCACTTAAGCTGTTGTTTTTGGGAGTTATGCTACAGTGACGTTTATTTAGTTGATTGCTTTTGATTGGACGGTATTACTGATGTTTCCTAGCAACCAATTTATAAATGCCCAATTTAGTAAAATCACTAGTTTGTAGTTACTAAGAACTTTAAAAGAGCTTTATGCACAAACTCAGCTGGTGCAAGAATTCACCAGTGACAATAAAGCTTATTACAGCAAGAGACTCTGAGTTACCTTTTTAACTTTAGTGTTCCTTATAAGGAAACGCCGCAGTGTGTAGCAGGCGTGCACTTTGGTGCTTTTCAGTGTCACCACAATGTTTCCATACTGCTCGCTGTTCTCTGTCGGCCAGTACTGGTCACATTTCCGCTGAAAAGACACAACAGACATAATAAATGATACACCACGTCAGTAGAATCATCTCTGTGAGGGATAAGTTTATGATTTGGTATATTTTATATTTCTGTAAATGATTCAAGTGAACATACTCTGCCTTTCTCCACCAGGTTGGTAATCATGATGATGATTCCGGTATTCTGCTCCCAAACCATCCTCCAAAAGTCCTCAAATGTAGACTTGAGAGGACCCTGAGCAGCTATATAAGCTCTGGGCCGGTTGTAGCCCTGAAACAGGAGAGAAATATACTTACAATCAATAATGTATAAATTACCCACAACCCCTGATACAGCTGATACGACTGGTTTACTGACAAAACATTGGGAGGTCATGAAATCCAATCCTTCAGCTGACAGAAATTGTAATTAAGATAGATACCAAATGTTCCTTTCTCTGTCAGTTTTATGATTTTGATACCTAAATTATTGTTTTAAAAAGGTGTCAGCATGGGAATCAGCACTATTAATAATTATTTTGTTTCACTCAAGGCAGTTTCATTTACAATCTTTCAAACATAAAAAAAGAAAACCAAACCAGGACCTGCGGGAACTAAAAAACAAACAAACAGCTAAACATGTCAAGAGGTTGGTAAAACTCACATCCACATAGTTAGCATTGATGTAATCCGAATGTTTGGCATCTTTCCCCGCCAGAGCTCGTAATTTCACCCTGCTGTGGTCATCTAGGGAACGCATCGACATATTTGTAATTTGTGTAAATTATTAAAAGGATGAAAACATGTTATAAAAACATTATTAGAATCCGCAGCAGTAGACATCACAATCAGATTTTATAGCTGACTCACAGGCCACAATGTTGATGTATCTGTTTTTGTGCTTGTTGTCAGGATGATTGGAATGTTCTGCTGTGATTTTCAGGTCTGCTGTGGAGCGTTGGACCTCCTGGAGAGAGAAAAAAAATAAACAGATGGATTTTTATTTAACGAGGAGAGAAGAGGATGTAATGGTATTACCCTCTGTAAAGAAGTTCTATTCACTTAAACTGTGGGTGCTTTTGTAGATTTAATTTTTTTATGATACTATTGGTTTTTTAAAAGGGAACATTTCCCTTTCTTTTCAAAATTGCTCCCTGCATAAGGAGCTCAGAGCTCAGGATAAACTGCAAAGCAGAACCTCTTACAGGGATTCAGTTTCTCAGTCAAGGACACTTCAGCAGAACAGATGCTTACTGCCACTGGGGCTTGAACTCAGGCCTCCAGTGGGACAGACTTCTTCTTCCCCCTCTTCTTCGCTACAGTACGCCACACTGCGCTCGCCCACCCCTAAATACAACAATCATTTCCAACACAGCTTCATTGAGATGCATTTGAAAATTATGCACACAAGCTTCACCATCAAATGACCCCAATTAGAAGGAATCCTCGAGGGGTGAAGCTTTTGCCTCGATTCTTAACCTGGTTACACAGAGAATGTGTTCCCATCCAGTCAACCAGCAGACAGACCTTCCCTAATTAACCTCTGTCTCTCTTGATCTTTCTCTCCTTCTTTTTCTCAACCATCTGCTCAGAATTACCAACCCTTCATACAAACACATGCATAAAACAATCTTTAACCACTGTTCAGACCCATTTGTAGACAACATGTACACAGTAGAGGGGGAGATGAACTGTGCTGAATAGGCTATCAGTACTTATTTATCTCAAGAAAAAAAAAAAAGACAAATGTTTTTACGACCTAACCTGTAGGGATTCACCAATCTGGGAAATTCTGATGTTATGATGAATACTGATGTTTAAAATAAGAACTTGGGCAGATAGCCGATGCTTTTTTAATGTTATTTATTTGCCCTTTTGTGCCAGGGGGGAAAAAAAAATAAAAATCTACAACGATAAGCATCTCTGCTGTGTTGCAGCTCAGTCTGTTTTTCTTCGCGACTGCATGGAGCACATCGGTATTTGCATGCAATTTGTGCCAGTGCTGGAAAACGGAGGTGATTATTTCCCCAATTTCTGAGCTGGAAATAACCAACACAACATTTAGCCATTGCAACACAACAGATAAACATCAGCTGCTGACATTGGTGACTGCCATCTTATTACCAATAAATCAGTGCTTCCCTACTCCCCTTTTTGGTTCAGTTCAGACAAACTCTTGTGCGTTTGGTCCACACCAAGTTCCAATTATAGGTTTCACGCAAGACTAAAATAACCAAAAACAAACAACCAGACCAATGCTGCTTTAAAAAGAGGGTCTGGGTTTGTCTCCAAGTAGCCTGGGGTGAGGTTTTTTTTGTGTTGTGAATGCAGAACAGAACACAACACACTTATGATTGTAAACAGACCATTTTAGATCAGAAAATCAAAAGCTAAACTACTAATAAATCAATCTGTTAAATATGAGCAGCCATAAAGCAATTGTCTAAGAAATCTGTATTTGTGTATTTACCAATAAAAAGTGGGTGACATATAGCAACCACACAGTAACTAATCCCCCGTAATACTGCTCTAATATTTGTCATGTTTCTACCCATTCATCGCTATTTATGACAATGCTCATTATCAATTATTTATTTAAGAACTTGAGATAAATAAAAACATAAGGTGCCCTAAGGTGCTGCAAGACTTTCTGTCACCTGAATTTGATTTCTCTGTGTGGGTCCATGTAGTGCTGATCATGCAGAATTCATGTTTACTTCTCTTTTTAGTTTGTAATAGGTCAAGCAGCAATAAAAAGGCAACAACATATCCCTTATATCTCTTTACTTCCTCTTTGTATGGACTAACTAAACCCATCGAGAATTTAAAAAGGTTAACAATGCAATCAATTGAAGTGCCATTGATAGTATACCTCAAATTCCTCAGAGAAACCTTGCAGGTTGTTCTTGTAGAGCTCCATGATGTGTTTAATAAAGTGCTTAACGGGGATGGCCTCCATGTCATCTGCAGGAGAAGACACAGAACAGTTAGCAGTGTGTGTGGTTCATAGTGCATTATTGGGGTTTATTAATAGCCACTATGTATTCTGTGAGGGTGTTGGCACAATACAATACACACATTGATATCAATGTAATTTGTGCAGCAAATGTATAGTTTTCTGACGTCAAAATCAGTCCATTTCTACATGAAGAGAAGATTAGAAAATAAAAGCCAGTTTTGTGTTACTTTAACAGATCTATCACAAATGTCTAGAGTTGATATTTTGAGCATTTATATGAGGGAGCATCTGTCTCATCTGAGCCAAATCAGCCCCAAATCACACATGAGGGATCTTAGATAAGACTGGTTACTATCACATTGGGACAATAGTGCAGTGGCCCCAGCTGTCATCGCTGCTGATACTGGCCAATGTCTTAACTAATGCACGCTCGCAGCTGGGGCCTTTAGGGCTCTTACTTGCCTCAGTGGTTACAGCATAAAGGTGAATTCTGGTTAGTTAATATGTTCATTTATCAAAATGTCTTTCCTCCCCTGTAGTAGTGTCAAGAGACATCAGTCTAATCAGTTCATCAGAATGGTTCTGGGTGAAACATGGCCTTAGGAGCAAGAAACCAAAATGCAGGACAACTGATAAAGCCCAATTCTTCTTGACAGGATATAAAACTGTGCAGAGGTATGTTCACATGTATTCTTGCATGTCCCACAGCACCATGTGTAGTATAAATAGTTTTAATCTCATTCTGTCATTATCCACTTCAGACACTAAAATGTCTGCAAGAAATCAGCAATGCTAATTCTGAGCATAAAAGTCACCATAAAGTCACTCTTCAATGAATTTCATTTTCTTGCACAATGTCAACCTAAATCAAGTACATGATCGGTCATTCGGAATATATGTGCTGTAAGGAAATTGCCATAGTTTCTAAGAGAGTAGAAGGACAGGACAGAAAGAAAAGAGGGTGAAGAAAGAAAGGGACAAGGGAAGAAAAAGACAGGCAATAAAACCCTAATGAATGTGAAGTCGATACCAGCATCAGCTGTACTCTTTAACTATGATATCACAGCCTTGAAAAATCCCAGAGCTTATAGCGACTGTGAAAAGTAAAGTCTGATATCGACTAGCTGCCACTGTTCTGCTGCCTGGAACATTAAAGGCTACAAAAAGCCAGTCACACAATTTCTACAGAGGTGCTCCCAGAGTCATTTCAGATGTAAATCAACAGAAAATGTGCAAATACAGACATTAAGGTGAAAGAGAAAACCATTTGAAAACAGTTAACGGTGGCTTGGGGATATGTTCTGTATAAACAGACATATATCACTTAAAAGTCAGTCAAGATTCCTTTCTCATTTCTGGGATTTTTTAGTACTCAGTTTCAGTCTTCAAAGGGTTAAATAATACAAATTTATTTCACAGTCCCGTCAAATGAACTCAAGTACTCAACACTACCATTTATTTCAACCATGCACCATTAAACCACTGTTCATCCATTAATTTAGCTGTTTCACCATTTATCCATTACTTTAAATCTTTGAACTGTTTAAACATTAGAATACTCCCTGAGGAACACCATATAGAGTACCATATAATGTAAGTACCCTTGGTTGGGAATCAACGATCTAGAAAAATGCAACAAAAAGTGAATCTTAAGTATACTTGAACATCACATCTCTGAACATTCTAATATTATGGAGGAAATACAGCTTACCTGGTATAGGGATGACTGGTATATTCTCATTGGCCACCACTCGTGGAGAGCTGCTCTCCTCCACATAGAAGTGAGCTGTCTGGAAAAATCTCCTACAGGGACACAAAGACAAGTACAGTGAGATGCCACAGTAATGTCTATTAGGGAGTCGTTATACCAATTGTTCTCAGATCCGGTCTGTCAACATCAGCATCTAAGAGTTGCATAGAATGACATGGGAACAGCAGAAAACTGCTAATGAAAACCCCAGAGTAGTTGAGACACAGCTGATCGCACAGAGAGTCAGTGGTGGTGAGCGACTTCTGGAAACACAGTCTGAGCTGACTACAGGGAACAGGTAAACAACTCATAATGACACACTGCACAGCCAAATTTAGCTTTTTACTCAAACTGAAGACAACAAATCCAAACACAAATTCTCTCTTCAGGGCAACACGCGCCACTTTCAAGAGTTCCCACTCCACTTTAAGCACAACAAAATCAACTTAAAAGGTGTGCTTTCTGGAGAAAATGCAATGTGTGAGATTGCTGCAGTTCAATGTATAGGCATTCATATAAGAACTTTACTTTTAACGTATTGACAAAGATTTCTGTTGTGACCAGATTCAACTTTTGATATTCATTACTAATCCATAGGCAATTCCTGTTCTTTCAAATAGCCAAAATGTTTGCGCCCTCTGTTGGACAATGCTTCCCAAATTTTTCATAGTTCAAGGTCCAAAAATCAATGCTAAATGCTGATAGGGTAAAAGCAGCCATGATCTTTAGAGAATATCAAAATTTTTTTTATATATATATATATATATATATATTAAAGCCTTATAAAAAGATTAATTGTAATTTTTTGGGGGCTAAAACACTCAACTCTGTTCAAGATTCCCCACAGTGAATACAACAAAAGTCAACAATTCTTAAATGATACGTTAAAAAAAAAAAGTCTCTAAGGTCCTGAACACCTTGAACATGCTCTCCAGCCTCCACCCCCTGCTCATACACACACAATGTATACTAATAAATGCATAGAAAAGTCCCACGTTTTATCTCAGTGCCAGCATTTCCCACATTTAATCCTACCTGTATTTGATGCAGAGGAGGGAGCAGATGCTTGTCATTCTTTAAGAGAAATGGAACAAAAATAAAAAAAGACTGCAGTGCATTTAAAAGATATAGAAATAGAGAAGAACAGACAGAGGGAGAGAGAGGGGGGAAAAGAGAGAGAGAGAGAGAGAGAAAAAAGACAGAGGGAATGATGAAAAACAAAAAGGGAGGAGAGCTCCCCCCTGGCTTGCGTCACAGCCTCCCAATCTAATGGCTCCCTGTGGGTGCAGATGTGGTGTGGCTAACTAACCAGCATAGTCGACACCCCCTCCCTGATTCTCTCCCGTGGCCTCAGAAGAATAGTTTGCTTTGGGGGAATGGAAACTGGGATGAAATAGGCTTTCTGAATGGATGTCACTGGAGAGAGGCATCCTATTTAACACCGGCATCAGCAGTACTGAGTCACTAACACGAAATTAGATTTTTTTTTCTCAGTTGAACATCTGTGAGTTTCTCAACAAATGCCTCAGGCCTCCGAAGCTTCCAGATGTGTACTGTAATGCCAGCAATTAATTCCAGTGTAGACTGACTCATAACTTGAGATTAACAGCAAACATGAACGAGCTAAAAATAAGACAAGCGTATCAAACTTCAAAAGATGGTCCACTGATCACGTATTTTTAAATAAACACTTATACAGCAAATGGATTGTGATATTAGGTTGTTAATGACCAAAACATCTGTGAGCAGAGAATCTCACTGGCTTTAATAGCTGCACTGACACCAAGAGAGACTACGCAGAGCATGAAGAGTAAAGGGAGTGTGAATGGGTTGATTTCATCTTCCATCATGGTCTTTTCCCCAGGGGAAGCAGCCATTGTCTGCGAACTGTCAGAGTTGTCACAACAACAGCTGTGATGGCCATTTCTAATCTCAAACCTGCCTCTGCACTTCTACTCAAATACAAAAACTCTCACTAATTCAGCCACCTCCTGAATTAGTTACAGTGGTCTTGTTTTGAAATGTCTGTTTTTTGAACACCTCTATGGAGCTGATAACTAAGCTGTTATTTATACCGCACTATTATATTAACCGACACCATAAAAGGCCACAGTAGAGTGTTGTTGGCTCAAAAAAAAATTGCTGTAGTGATCTCACACTTAAAAAAGGTAATTTACAAAATGTATTTAACACATTATTAATACATTTCAGACTGTAAATAAATAAAATGTTATCTAACTACAAGCAGACCCTTTGCATACAGCAAATATGCATGGGACCAGCTGAGGAAATGGTCCATAGAGCTATTTGTAACTCATTAACCATCCCACATGTGCCTGTGGCCTGGCCTGTGTAATTACTGGGGCTCCAATAGCGTAGCTGGAAATTAGCCCAGCAGATGAAGACACAGCTGAGACCCCTGCTGGCACTGCAGGGCCTTCAGGTCTCCTGACCCTCACCCAGCTGGGTGATGGGCCTGATGTACGATGTGCAGGCAGTCTTACTACCAGGCTGTTTAAGATTAATGTGCATACATACATACATACATACATACATACATACATATGCATAAAACACATCCAAGCTAGTCTGGTCTGAATGTGGAGCAGACTGACTGGAAAATCTGGAAATGCATGCGGGCGTGTCACTTAAACCAAAATGAGTGAAAAACATATAAGGATGGGGTCAGTGCGGGTGGAGGGTTTGGTAGTTTTTCACACCTCTGAGAGAGGTATGAGTGGTACTCGTATCAAGATGAGGCATTTGCAGTACAATGCTACTCACCTCCAGTAGACCATCACAATCAGCAGCATTATGAGGCAGAGCAGGGTGAGAGCCGACACCACCACCAAGGGAACGATCCACACCATTCTCCCCATCCCTGGGTGAGGGGATCGGGTCACGTTGGACAAGACAGTCCTGTCTGAAACACAAAGCATGCTCATAAATATATTCTATTACTCATTTTCAAACTTGAAAGTGCTTATGTGTAGGACTTCTATGAAATGTATAGCATGTTTTGAAGTATTCTGAAGACAAAAGTTATTGTTTTTTGATAAACTTTGACAATCTTGGTGAAAATTAGTAGTCCATATGTTGCTTTGAGCCCTTTATTCCTTGTCTCCAGGTCAGATCCACCAGGGAGGGCAGGGGTGTATTAGTATACAGTACTGTCTGCCAAAAGCTTTTTTTGATGCTATCACTGGGGGTTGCAAAAGTCAGAAATGTTCAAATTCTGCAGATACTGTAGGGGATTTAACCTTCACCATTATATATCTAATGTCAAAACTTTCTCCACATGTACTCTCATGCTCACAAAAGGGTCTCACAAGTGACTTAATTCAGGGGCTTACTGTGAAGAGTTTTCACTAAGTCCAAAAGTTAAAGCCCTAACAGACCAGAGCCCAAACTAGTCCAAACTGAGCCCCGACTCCAACATTTAGCTAATTTACAAGAAACCTATACGACATAATAAACCTATAGGCCTATTGTGGTAAACAGATACATCAAATTTACCATGAGACACATATCACTCAAGACCGATCATAATAAAATCTAATGACAATGAAAAGAAAAGGGCTAAAAAAAATAAATAAAAAATACAAATCTGGCAAAAAATCTTCAAACACACTGTCTCTTGAAACAAGCTCAAAGGAATTCCTCGAGGCAGAACCCCTGAGGCAGACGGATTTACTTCTGCCCTCAGGCCTCTGTGCTATAGTGACAAAAGCCTGGAGCTTTTTCTTTGACTGAGATGGTAACCAGTTTAGTTACTGTCTTGAATGAAGTTATTTGTTATGCTAAATTGGGCTCTATAACTATTGGTAGTGTTTCCAGAACTCTGCTTTGGGGAGAAGCCTTGTCTTGTTTGATAGCTGACAACAAGAGAAAAAGCCTTACTGAGAATTCAAATGGGATGTCACTGTTTGTGAAGGATGTTAAAACTGACGGGCAAAAAACCTCAAAACAATACTTTGTCATATCTGTGTGGGAGAGAGAATTCTGCTCACCAGTGTGGACCGAGAAAGGCCAGAGACTACTGATCTTTGGAGACAGTGTGGAGCTTTCTGGAATCTGTGTCTCATTACGAGGCTCCTGGGTGGAGACTGCGTTTACATCTGTGGGCTTCTTCTCTACCTTGACCAACTGGTCATCGCCAGTGCTTGCAGGTACTGTGGTGCCTTTGACTGTAGGCTTCTCTTCTCCTTTCTCTTTGGCTGTGGATGCGGGGGTGGGGATAAAAGGCTCTTTGGCCACAGTGCTATTCCCTTGCTTTTCCTCATTATCAGGTGCAGTCTTGTTCTTTGTCTTCTTCTCATCCTGTCCCTCTTCCTGCTCTCCTTCTCTCTCCCCCTCCTTTTCCTCCTCCTCGCCCTCACTCTCAGCCTGTTTCTCCTCAGACTGGGTGTCTGCGTCGGCACCCTGGGGCGCTGCCTGCTCAGTGCTGGACTTTGCAGGCGAAGCGGATGGACGGGTGGGGTTCTGCGTGGCTTGGGGCCCCTGTGTGGGCCAAACAGAACTTGGCAAAGAAGAGATGACCCCTCCGCCTACGCCCAAGCCTGCCAGCAAGGTGCTCGTCACTACTGACGCCACTGTGGCCTGGCTGCCACTGGAGGAGGGGCCCATGCCCGTTGCCATGGAGACAATGGAGAAGTGGATACCAGAGGATGTCCAAGTGGAGGAACCAGAGCTGATGGGAGCCATGTCCGCTGAAGACGCTGGAGAAATTGTGGGCTGCAGACAAGCAGAGAAAACATGATTATCCAACATGAATGTAACAGATACAAAAAGAAAGACTGAAAAAGAAGCACTGCCATCCTCTGGTCAACTCACCATCCCCGTCTTCACAATGCGAGACCCTTCAAATATTCTTGTTGTATTTGCTGTAAAACAAAAATCAATTTTATATGCGTCTGGTATGCAAGATTAGTTTTTCTTTTAAAAATGCACAATGACTCATTGGCTGGAGGGTGATCAGATACCTCTGAACAGCAGCGTTTGACTGAAATCACTGCGCAGGTCATGCTGACACACGGCTTGCACTCTGAACAGGTACAGGGCGTCAGGCGACACATTAGTGATGACTGCTTTCTGCAAGAGAAAAGATGCACATACGTACACACTTCAGACCAATTGCAAACATATGGTACATGATGTCTTGGATGCTGTTCAATCAAAATGGCTAAAATAAAAATATACTACGCTAAGCCACTGCTCTGTCAACACTGTACGACCCACACGTTCAGTGATGTTTAAAACCTCCACTCAAGTCTAATTTAATTGTGTAGTGAAGTTTGCAGAGGGTATTACTCTCAGAACGGGTGGCTGATTGCCTCTGGTATTGGAGAGGTAGTATTTCTCGGAAATAATTCAGATAACAGGTGTCCAGAGATAGAAACTGAAAATTGAAATGGAAATAAAGTAGACAAAATAAGAAAAACTGACAGCAGAAAAAGAAGTGGAGAAAATACTGTCAGTGAAGTGCCTGATTGACTATTAATGGAGTGTAACTACATAGAGCACCTTGTGGACACATTTCATCATTCTTTTCTGTCAGCCATTTGCAATACATTTGCAATAACGACATAAACTTAGAAAGCTCTTAACAGAAGATGAAGATATCGCATCAAAACAACAACAACAAAATAAATTCATATTAATCTATTGTTTGGGAAAACAGTCTAATCATCGTTACAGATAGCAAGTAGCCTCACAAACAAGTCTTAGCAGTCAACATATGGGTCATTCAACTTGCAAGATGACAAAATTCAAATACAAGTTTTAAGAAATCATTCTGCGTCCTATTTGATGCCTAAGCTTCTCAAGCAGATTTTACCACAGTATAGGGGATAACGGAGAATGCTCGACCCTCTTGTGTCTCGTGTCAAGACCACAGAAAATTAAGACTAGGCTGCAGAACTATGACGGCTCTGCCAGAGAACCTCAGGGAGCAGTATGGCTGATAGGGAGTTAAAAGGTCAGTAAATGTAGCTGTGGGATGCTGAAAGAAACAGGTAACCAGGACAGGGAGACTGAAATTGCAACGTGATGGTTTCTATGTTTAATATCAGACAGACGTGTTCTGGCAGGTTTCTGAACAAGCTGCAAGAGAGACGTGGAGTTAAATGAGCTACAGCAATCTTAAGGAAAGGAAATCGATGTTAATTTATCTTTACTGCAGGACGCCTGATGACACATTTATTTCAACCTGCTTGTCCATAGCCTCTAAGCTTCTTTGTGAGAAAGATCCAATCCAGGGGATCTGGATATTTTCTTCCCACATAATACTTCAATTTCTCTCAAATATTGTTCATTTTAAAAGTTGAAATGCTTAACACAAGATGGATCAAGTTTGATCTCAAAATTTGGGCCACAATTTGCTTCTAAACTACTTGTAGAAAATAATCTTGTAGAATGTGAATAGGTGAATGTCAAAACATATTCTTTAATGTGCAGATATAAACATCCAAGTGAAGTGAATACATCATTGGGTTGAGGGGGTCATTAGTTAGTTTCTAAGCATTAAAAGGAACCCCACCCTCTCTGTGCAGTTGCTCTAATCAACCAGTAGAAGTCACTAGTGCAGCAACAATACATGATCCCTCACCAGCTTCCCACCCATGACAATGCCAACTGTGTTTACTGGAATGCGGTTCTACCACCAGGGAACTGATCCCAGGTCTCTGAACTAGGGGGGTGAATGTTTTGCCCCTGAACTGTTTATATCTGGAGAGGTAGTCATGCAGACTGTAAAGACAGCTGGGGGTCAGTAGGCATTAAAGAGATGCACAGCTGGGTGCTGAATTCCCACAAATGGAAGGATATGTGACTGGGAAGAAGGATATATAGTGTGAAAAAGAACAGCCCTGTAGGTGTAATTTCCTGCAGGGGGAGGATATATTTCTGTAGAGACAGTGAATGCTCTGTTGGAGAGACACAGTAAGAACTCAAGTGGCAACTCGATGCTTAAGGCACACGAGCAGAACTGTATGATCACTGGTGTCAAAACTTCACTGAGATATAAAAGGTATAGCGTTGCCTGCATCGGTTACTAAAAGAAGACAGTTTGTGTTCAAAGAGCTGCCTCCACTACCTGAAAACAGACTGGATTTTTGTATATATGTCTTCTATATTGCTATTTTCTTACATTTTGCTATAAGTTACTTTATCTTTGAGCCTATAATATATTGACCTGCATCACAGACTGAAGTAAATAAACAGAAAAGGCCACAGGTGCATTTGTCAACACGTTGCGTATATATCAGTTAGACTTGTGTGACAGTCCTATGTGTCTATTCTTAGACAGGTGAGTGACAGAGGAGTGTCTGGGCTCTCGTATCAACCAACAGCCACATGCAGAGTTCATCACAACCTGTCACCTCTTATACACACAGTCACTGATCCTGCCAGATAGATTTGAGGCTCGGCAAACCAATCAGAGTTGTTTAAACCACCATCTTGTAAAATACAAATAATATTGTAGAGAATTCTGGCTAAGTGCTTTTGTCTGATATGAGTAGTTGTTGGCAGCAGTTGATAATAATACTCACCATGCTCTGGTCCCCAGTCTTGGTGAAAGTCTTTTCATCAGCAACATCACGTTTCACCCAACTGTAGGAGACCATGTAACTGGTGATGGGTGGGTGGTAGACGGTCAGGGGGCGTTCCCAGCTCACCATCAATGCCGTCTGGTTCAGCGGCTGGATTTTCATGCTCACTGGGGCACTGCTGCACACTGTAGGACCAGATAGAAGCACTGAGTGAGATAAAGAAGCAGCATGAAAGGAAAAAATGACTACTAAGAAAAATAAAAAAAATACAGTATCACTTTTGAATCTTCTGATTGCAGTCGGGTGAAAATGAAAGGCCGTGGTTAGGAGGACCGCCTGACCACATGTATTTGTGTCCGATGATGTGTGTGGGCAGAATGCAGGTTGCCTTTTAACAAGCCTATTATTACTGTCTGCTGCTGACTTGACTCAAAGCCATTTCCAATCGAGAGACCTCTAAAGGTGCAAGATAATACAGTAACTCAATAACAAAAACACTCCAGGAGGCTTAACGGTTAGGCACAAATTCAGGTGTCAGTGTAGATTGTCAGTCTGAACACTTGTCTTTTTCACACCACACCACTTCCAGAGAGGGAGAATACCAAACAGCTTGGTGTAGTGCTAAACATGCAATATAGATAATAAGGCAACTTCCTGTCCATACCTAATTTGCAAGTTCCTGTCTGTGCAACATTAAACAGGATGCATGAAGAGGATGAAAGAAAACCTGTGCGTCAGCCTCAAGGTGGCAGTGTAGGCTGCAGCATGGATATTTATACAGGGATCTGTCAGTATGAGTAAAGGACAATCTGGACATGCTTCTCAACACATCAGGGCAACAGCAATCAGGAACCAGTGTCAACTGATTATGTTCACACAGGGTTTCTGTCAAATTGAAATTGTCACCACAGTTTTCTCCATTTACACAGTGAAGCTATGGTGCAAATTATGCACCATGATATGTGAAAGGTAGACAGGGTGGAAGGAAATCAGTCAGAGGGGCACAGGGGAAAAAAAAACAATAGCAAGAATATCTAGAGGTGTTGATGAGGTGTGACAGGTGTGAAATGTATAATAACCCGTTGGATGTCCGTTGTCAACTTCAGTAGCTCAACAACAGTCATTTAACAAAAGCTAAAGACATCATCTTAGTTTTACTGCCAGATTACTGTCATGACAGTCATCACCTTTTCTCCATCAACACTGGTGCACTAGCAGCACTAAAATCAACGGCAGGTGGAGATCTACTAGACACATATCTTATCAACACATGTTTTGCACCTTGCAATACATGACAGCATAAAAAGTGATTCTTATTTGTATTTTCTCTGTATTGATTAAAAATTGTATTGATTTATAATATAATAATTTATTAGGCACTTGTTCATTTCATGAAAACATTTTTAATATAATGGCAGATAAGCAGCTAAATCAATTAGTGCTCCTTTAAATATGTTCAAAATGTGTATGCAAATAGAATTTTTGTCACTTCATCTCAGGATCAAGTAAAAGAGACACAGTATGAACCAAACTGTGAATAGTACCTAATGTTTCATCACTGGCAGAATTACTTAACATGCTAGTGACTCTAGAAAATCCCATTATTTTTCTGTGAATACATACACTGTAACCTCTCAAAATAAGCCTCGTAGTAGTTTCACCCCAGTCTGCAACACCACTCAGAGCACAGCATAAGTCTTTCTCCTGACAGCTTCTACCATAAAGGGGATATATTGACTGTTGTCAACAAACAGCAGTTCCATTGCTACTCTTCTCTCAACACTGTACAATACGTTTTGAAGAGACGTGCGCAGACATTGGAATGATGGAAAAACAACAATTTAATTGAAAACACAAACACTGAAACATAAATAATTCTAGTTATGCATGTCATCTGTGCGAAATACCTACACAAAACTACAGTACTTATTTATGATAATGTGTGACTCCTCTTACAGTTACCAACACAGTTTTAACACAGGTTAACAACATAACAATATTACATTACGTTAATAATGCTGCAACAATTAATCGATTAGTCAACTGAGAGAAAATTCATTTGCAAGTAGTTGAATAACTGAGTCATTTTTCAAGAAAAAATGCCAAACATTTATTGGTTTCAGGTTCTGCAACATGAGGATTTTCTGCTTTTCTCTGTTTTATAAAAATTGTACATTCAATAGATAAAAGTCAGTTGCAGCCATATGGACAATATCACCATTAATTCTGAACAGAGGGACACTAAATCTGGTCTCTACTTGGATGCACAGGGTGAAAGAGCTTGTTGTTACACATGCAGATATACAGCATTAAGTAAGTAAACACAAAGGACAAAAGAAATACTGCCATATACTGTATATCTTAGCATTATTCCTGGACAAATATTGAATCTGCACCACACAAACAAATCTGCAACCTGTGTCTTTTAAACCAGAAAAGGTTAGCTATGCATCTCTAATGGCCAAACATTCATGGCTGTAAAAGCCACTGATAGAATATTCAGTCATGGTGTGGCCCTGGCTCTCACAGCATTTACAAGCAAAGCCATAATTTACGTTGCAAAGATAAAATATCGCCCCTCACACAACCTTGACAGATATCACCCCTGAAGATAAGACAATCCCAGCACCTCCCATTAAGCATGGATTCTTACATTTTAACAGAGTGAAATAGAAATGCGAGAGAGACACAAAGAGAAAACGAGCAAGAGGGAGGGGGAAGCGGGGGAAAAAAAGAAAAATGGAGAGTCACTAGTCCACATTCATTCTGCCTACTGACATGCCACAAAAGCAATTTCACAACTTAATTTGTATGGGTCTATTTTAGCTGTGCCACATATTAATGATGATTGCTGATCGGCCTTGTTAGAGTGCTCCAACTTCATCCCAAGCATTCCCAATCAATTCTCCCCGCCAGACACCAACAACACCACTTTAAGGCGCAGCAGCCTTTCTCATTAGTCTCCATAGATCCTGTACTGTTCTGTTAAAGCAAGTGGTGTAAGATGCACACATAAAAGAGAAAGATGAACAAAAATACTCTAATCAAGGCCTGCATGAGGTCTGTACTTTGTATTAATATGTTCCTTGATATTAGAATGAGTTGTAACAATGAGAGAATGACGTGCACGTTATACAAGCTTTATCCAAAAATCTTCTGAAATTTGAATAATGACCTATTATTCAAATTGTGCTCTGTGAGTAATTTTATCCTACTAAAAAGAAAGGAAGGAAAAAAAGAATTACCTTCTATGGTCCTATTATATTTACTGATCCACTAATTCAAGCTGGGTTTTATGAATATGTCTCCATGCAGAGCGGCTAGACGAGCTTTCTGAATTTGGTCCCAAAATACCATCAACAATCTCATTAATCATTTTCACTGGAGTTCCAATATTGTTTACCCTAAAGAAAAACTGAGTCTTTGTCAAAAACCCAAACTGAACCCAACTGACCATTCGCTAAACCCCTTCCACTGAACAGTGATTGTCAATCATCTCTCAGCAGGGCCTGTCAAGATCGGTTTCCTCCACATGCCACAAGTGTATATGGCATTTAGAGTTTAAAAGGGTGATTTCCTTTTTCAGCTTCATTAGCTTATAACCTATAGGGGCCACTAAGCGTTACTTCAAAAGGCCAAGATTTTACATATCCTTTTTTCCTTATCATTCTTACAACACTAGTACTTACTAGCCCTATACTGTAATTCCAGAACAATGTCGTTTCATTATTTCCAAGTCTTATACCGCAAATGGGTCAAACAGACAACTGGTGATTTTTGCCTCGGACATGCGGCTTCAGCCTCAATCTTCATATCATATTGTGTATGTAAGCATCAAGTGCATATTAAAATTACTTCTGGTTTCAATAGAAGACAGCCGGAAACATTAAAAAGTTAGGAGGAAATGCATTTTTAACAGACAGACTCATCGTTGGCTTAATTAGTTAACTAGCTACAGCTGACAAAATCTGCCAGCGACAGCTGTCATTTCAACTGGAAGAATCAGAGGTGGAAGGCTAGAAAATGGTAAGCCTGCTTTTGTCTCCCTTTGTCTGAAAAGATGAACCCACTGTTTAAAAAAATTACAAGGAATTTCCAATGGTAAATTTGTTATCATTGTAAACGGCACTATGCGAGAACAGAAGCTTGACAGGCAGTGCGTCAGTAACTAAGGGTTCGGGGCTTAGCAACGGTCAATTCGAACAAATTATGAAGGTTGTAAACCAGCAGAATTGCAGAAAATAATCAGGTAGATATGGCTATATATATGGTGTCACAGCGCTGGGTAAGATTTTGGGTAGCTTTTGGATGGGATGTGATCTGATGTAACCTTGGCCTACACACAGTGTGCGTTATGTAATACTAATCCACACTTAATAATAATAGTGACACCAATAACCATGCCCTTAGTTTACAGCGGGCTCTGACTACTCCCGAGTTATTTAGGCAGCAATTCAGAAGTACAGAACTAATAAAATAGTGAGTAATGATTGTAATTACAGATCCTTCGGTTAAACCAGTAGCACTATAGTGCAAACGACAGGGAGAATGTGATACAATACAGACAATAAAGCTTACCTCTTGAAGCCTCAGTGCTATGAGGGCTTCCCACAGGTTCAGTTAAATCTTTCTGCCATGCGTCTTTTATAGCAGACTTAAAGACTTTTCTATTTTCTAGGTCCTGCAGGGGCCGGAAGTTGTTCCTCAGGTAGTCAACGGACTTGACATGGTCCTGTTGCTCTGTTGTAAAGATGGAGTAAAAGGCCTCCAGCTAGATGGAAAGAAACAGAGAAAAGCCATTTAAGTGTATGTGCTGAATATAATATATCACGCAGGACTACATTTGTAGCCACTTGCCAGCAGCTGACTGTTCACAAACGGAGCACAGCATTTGCAAGAAACATTCACACCACAGGCACAAGCAGGCACGGACCTCAATCATCATCCTGGCTACCTACCGGGCTGTAACTTCTCAATGGGGCAAATTTGTGGCCATTGATTGCTATGAATGATCTCCTGCCGCGTTCTGTAATGACTACACATTACAGATACTGTGAAATCAATGTGTCCTATGCGTGCTTGGAGAAATGAATTACAGGTTCATAAAAGACGATCTGTGAGCGTCACAAACATTGCAGCCGTGGTCAATATTCTTGCAGCAAAAGTCATTTCTGAACAAAAGATTTGTACTCCTGAAAGTTGATAAAAAATTCCACTGAAATTTCTACAGCACAGAATGCTCTCGAGGATATGCAGCTGTGTAACCTAAGATATGTATGTATAAAAGATGCAGCAAAGGACTGTGTGTGGGATCAGCAAAAAGCACGGGGCATGCCTTTGCATATATTATCTCAAAATCACAAATGGCAAGAAACAGTTGGAGATGAGCTGTTGTAAAGCACGTAGGTGAGTACCATAAAATGAAAATTTTTCATTAAACATATAATAAACTTTTACTGCAATAATTTAGATCAATGAACATTTTAATTAATGAACATTTCTGCACTTGAACAACTTTAATAGATTGATAACTAGTCTCCATGTGCAGCAGTGTTCTATTTAAGACCCTATGGTCACCGTCTCAGACAAACAGCATGATATATGTGTAAGAGCCATCTCACACAGTCATTCAAATGCCACTAACTGGCTTCCCCTTCCTGCTTAATCATCCACTATATTGCCTGTTATGGTTTCATATGCAGAGGAGTTGGGGAGGAACGAGGGAAAAGGGAAGAGAGGGGAGAGGTAGATGAGGGGAAAAATTGCTTGTGCGTCGAAACTGTTGGACAGCAAGTGATCCACTGACTGTGTGCAAATGGGATCTGACTGTGCGTGGAGAATATAGGTGTGTGTGTGTGTGTGTGTGTGTGTGTGGACTTAACGCACCTGTGAGTGGGACAGATACACAGGTCTGGAGAAGATGATCCACTCCACGACCTTACTGCAGGGTGGCGTGGTCAGAGAGCCGGTGTATCGGTAATAACTGTCCACTGACGATGGCAGCAGATCCCTCAGGATGAATGACCTGAGGTTGGTCTCCTTTTCTGGATAAGCAAGGGATCAACACTTGTCAATACACAGAAATGAAAAGCAGGAGTGCTTAATTTAGACGCAAAAAATATTGGGGGTGTAACAGTAAGTGTATTCGTGCCGAACCGTTTAGTACAAGAAGACTGGGTTCAGTATGCAACTTCGTAGGTTCTGCACGATCTGTGGCTCAAACAATTAGCTCGTCAAAATAATCTATTCATGTGTACTACTTGCATTGAACAGAAATTCTACAGCTCACGTTTTACCTGGATAGTTTTGGCAGTGCATTAGCTGTTGTCTATCATCTGTGGCTTCACGCTGGTGAAGTGTTGCTGCTCCACTGTATGGCAGCATTACGGTTTTCCGAGTAATTTACAGTGAAACTGGACAATGATTAGTGTCAAACTGTAAGCTGACAACCAGGTGTATATATATGTGGAAACCCTTCAGATCATTTATGACGGCATCGCCTGAATGTGTCAATGAGCAGAAAGGACAAAAACAGACTGGAAAGCAAATCCTTCTCCCCACAGCTTTCAAAACAGCCACTCACTGCAGATATAGACTGTGCTAAAACAAAGACAAATGTTATTGGAGTGTTTATCACTGTTGATATGTGACCATATCGAGTCAAAAGGATAAAAGGAAGCCACACTACAATATGCTTTTATGTGTGTATTTTAATCAGTCGGTTGTGCCTGCTGCCTTGCATAAATGAGCATAAGCTGCAGTTGTTCAGGAATTATCATCAGGTCAAATGCTTAGAGTGCAGCATTACTGACATTTGAATTATTCATTTTTTCTTTCTGACAATATGCCATTATAGCCAAAGAGCTACTGTTCAATGTTTACATTTTTCAAAATGAGTGACAAAAATGTTATTTTCTACATTTTATTTTGTTTTTTCCTGCTGCTGTACCAAGAAAATACTGAACCGTGATCCCGAAACCTAGCACACCGAACCATGAGTTTTGTGTGCCGTTACACCCCCCCAAAAAAATCATATCTTTCACTCTTCAACGCTTTGCTGAAAACCATGCATATCTTGAGTTACATTTAAACCTACATTTACAAGGTTGTTTCATTTCACTCTCCCTGTGGCATTTTTACTGCTTCCCTGAAACCTCCACTAGTGGAATGATGGTGACAGCAGTTAAAAGCCTCAGCACTTGTTATCACTCTGGCCAGATCTCTGTTCTCAGATGGGCAGAGAGAGGACCAAAGGAGAGTAGTCAGATAAAATGGCCTTCTCCGACAGCTGATCCGTGGCTCGGTGATAGCCTGCTCTGCTCCGTGTAACAACTGTGGCATGGGGCCACAGGGATTAAGACAGATCCAAATGATTTCCAGATCTGTTCTATCCTCTGTGATCAGAATCAGGCAACGCCATGGAAAAAGAAATGCTTGTGTGCTATGCAAGTGAGATTATTTTATTTTATTTTTTTCCATGAATTACGAAAGACACAAATAAAGCTGAATTTATGTCAAATCCAATCTCTCACAGTTCATGACCTTATCTAAAAAAACAAAACAAAAACAAAACAAACAGAGGTTCGTGGTGATAGGACTGATAGGAACTGAGGCACTGGAAGCCTCGCCCCAATGCCTCATCTGTACTCAGAGTCAAATTCAGTATTCACAGCCTTTCTTCGCTCAGTCTTCAGACAGTGTACGTGCCCTATCGCTCATGGGCCACCGAGATGCTGATGGATGGATGACTGTGGGATAACGAGCTAGTGGAAAACCAACCACCCTAACGGGGGAGGAGGCGGGAGGCATTTAGCAGCCAGCAGGAAGAGAGTCCAAAAACCACCACACCCACACAGATCTCTCTTTCAGCTGGGAGATGAGAGATACTGTGGTGTTTGCACAAACATCTGTGTAGTTCCAGAGTTCAGCCACTTTTGGAGACTGATGGAGATTCAGAAGGTAATATAGTATAACTAATGTTTTTTGGCAACATGCCTTTATCAAGGTTATGTAACAAAAGAAAAGTGGAGTGTAAATACCTCCCAGCTGAAAACAGAACAATAAGAAAAATGTTCTTTATGTGCCTTTTTTACTGCAGCCATTTTGACATGATATAGGGTAAACACAGGCGTTACGAATGATACTAATTAAGGCTCCGTTCCATTTAAGGTAGCAGAGCCTTTCCAGTGAGCCAATATTCACAATAGCAGCACCCTGTTTGACCCGAATGGAACAGAAGCTTAATTAGTATCATTCGTAACATCGGGTTTACTCTATTTCATGTCAAAATAGCTCCTGTGAAAAAGGTTTATTGCAACTACTTCAATTAAATTTCAAGTGTAAAAATCACTGAACAAAGTGACCCATTTTACTGATTCCAAGGCCAATTCACATGTTTAAGACTCTCTAGTGGTCTCTAAGTGAGCCTTTTCCCTATCTTTTGCTGCTCATTCAGAAAGTTGCAAAAGATCCCCCCCCCTCAACAAAAAAGAAAATCCCCAAAATAAAAAGTCACAGTCTCACCAGAACACACTGCACAACATCAAACATCCATCTCCAGAAAGTACAGGGAGTGAAATTAAAATGAGATAATTAGATATGATTCAGTGAAGCCCAGCACGGTACAGAGGAATTACACCATGCTTCTATACATCCATATCCATTTACATGTCCTTGTCGGTGTATGCTTATGCTCATATAATGTCAGCGGCAGGTTGTAAAACAAGTCATACGTGTCTGTAAACAGAGCTGCTGTGTCCCCAGATGCGGTAAAGAATTACACAGTTGTGCTAAAACATTTGTTTATGGTCTGCATACAATAAGTCACGGTTGCAGTAAAGTCAGCACAGCAGCATTCATTTAAGGCGGTATGCTATGAAGGATTGTGCCATGGAATACACAACAAGACATTAACAGTGTAAATGTATAAAACAGTGTTGTCTAATTGAGGCTCAGATGTAATTAATAGTTCTTTCTCTGTGAGTGAAGCTCCTTGGGGGTCTCCTCCTGCGGAGTTACACTAGCAAGGGAGAGGCGGTATCTTGCAAATTTTGCCGCCTTTTGAAGTTAAACTCTGCTCATAGCTTGTGTTTAGACTAATTTGGGATTTAAATAAAAACGGAGCCCTATGCTTAAGCAGCTGATAGCAAGAGCATCAATCTTTATTTTATGGAGGTAGAAAGGAGCACGATGTCTGCACTGTTACAACAAATGTACCTCTAAGATCAACCAAAACATGAACAGCAGCGATGACGATGATGATGAGATTTTGCAGAGGATGATTGCTTTCTGAATATCCCAGATTGAACTTATTTCCCACAGTATTGTTGCATGTGGAGGAGTTTTTGAACAAAGAACTCACCACACACATAATATAAGATTGTTAAATATGACGGGGTGGGGGTTGCTTTCCCATTACTAACCATGATGCACTACGCCTTTCAATCCCTGGATGATGGCGTCCACAGCAGGATTGTCTTTTTGGCCCAGCTGCAGGAAATGTCCAGAGACAACAGATTACAAAAGGGATTACAAAACTAAAATAATAATAATCTCATGTAATGACTAAAGACGATCAACATGAACAAAATACAGGGGGTGGACAAAAAAAGGGCAACATCTCTACAATACAATATAATCCAGCAGCATCTAATGCCATCTGTTACTACAGTGAAGTTTATGATGTAATTTTTGTTGAGTTTTCTTAAGTGATAGACTTGATTCAGTCCTCTGGTCCTTTTTTGAGGATGTTTCTGGTGTACCAGATGACTATATTGTAATGCGTATTTTTGTACAAATAAATTATACAAACTCAAAAGTTGACATTAAATATCTCTATGAGCAGTATTTAATGCTTCTTGTTTTACATTTAAGTTATTACAATTTACACAAAATCAACTTGAGATTTAGTTTGATACTTTGTAGATTCGGTACAAATCCATCGCTATATATAAACACTGAACACATCTGATCATTTTAAGAGCTTTGTATCCTTCTGTAGTTGATGGTATCCAGTAAATCTGTGAGGCCATTTAGCCGTTAGCTATACTGTCTCAAGAGGACTAACACCAGTGTTGATTCCCTCCTTATCTATTAGGCCTACTGCTAATTTAGCCCCACATTCTACAATATTCCCAATGTCCTACTTAAGAGACAAGACTGGACAAAACAGTGTTGGGATGCGGGGACCAATCTTCCCTTGCTCAACATTAATTCAGGTCAGTCAGAGGAGAATAATTGTGTGGAACTGAATGCTGAATGTGGATAATATGCACACCTTAGAGGCCATTAATAGGCCTTTGGGGAGCATAAGAAGAACTCTCCTCATTGATTAGAAATGGTAAATCTGAGCCAATGTGTGTGTGCCCGCTTAAAAAGCCTCACACTGTAAACTGCTATTCAGCGGATTGTGTATGGTGGTGCTAATTGCAGTAAGCAATAGGGCTGTCAGGACCCAGCGGAGGCATTTAGGTCCTCGTACACACACGGTTTTATCACTGTCTGAGAGTAGACCTACATTACAAACACCTGTGTCCCCATTCCCGCCTCCCTCTTCCTGAGAGCTGACCCTTCCCTATATACTATTAAGCTGAATGTTGGCCCGCATTGATCACCTGCCATCAATCGCAAAGATACTGCTAATAGAAATTAAGACTCTAACATGGAGAGAGGGACCGTGGGGCTGTCAGTGCTGCCGGTGTGCGCTTTTTCACGGTTCATAAATCTCTGAGGTGTTTTTACAGTTAACAGAAATTAGGACCATTCTTGTCCATTAAGAGCTTATGTGCGCAGACCTTCAGGGCACAATCTGTAGTATCTCAGTAAGCAATCTGCAATGTGCAACAGAACAGAAAAATAATCAGCAGCTAGGTAAAAAAAGAAACTATCACAACACAGGTGCCACAGATAATTTCTAATACACATCTATCATTTACTGACCTCAAGAACATATTCATATCTTCATCCTTGTCATAATTGGACTAATACAATTTCAACTACCCCCCTTAAATCATACTTGCCTCATCATTTTACAATGTATTTTCCATCCGGTCTGACTTTATTTTAATTTTCGTTATTTTGTTAGTATGATTACCTATTTCCCACTAATTTTGTCATTTCTTTTTACCCACTCTTCATATTTATTCACTTATCTCTCGCAATTCGACCAACAACTGAACTGGAGAGCCATTACTAAGAGGTTTTCCTCACTGGCAGTACAGAAAAATTAATTGTGGACATGATGGATGCATCTTTAAGCATGAGCAAAGTATGTTTTAAGGCTACAGCCAGGCTAGCGGCTCTGATTGTAAGCACCATCTTACTGTGGCATGTTAGCCTGTTAACATTTGCTAATTAGCACTAAAAACACACAAGTGCAGCCGAGGCTGAAACCAAAGCACTGGGCAAAGAGAAATGTTTCACCTGATGATAGTGCTACATGAAATGTTGGAGGATCATCAAAGTGATTACAATTCATCCTGAGGGGGAAATGAATGTCTGCACCAAATTTCATGGTAATCCATCCATCCAAAGTGATGGGCTGACCGTAACATGGATAAAAATGTCTATGTTCTATAATTGCCCTTGTGCAGTCTTGGTTTTCTTCAGATTACACTTGTCTCGACCTTCACTCCTGGTGATACTTTACCTCAAAGAAGACGGCCATGGCAGCAATGATGCGTCTTTCCTTCATCGCAGCATTGAGGCTGTCAAAGTCATCTGAATTGTAAAGGTAGATCTGCATCTGGGATGGGAAACAGAGCATAAACAGCTTGAGAAGTGGACAAGGAGAACGAACAGTTCTGTCATCAATCACTTGGACACACTGCTGAGGAGCTGATGAAAAGCAGTTTTGAGGGGCATAAAAAGAGGGTGTATTTATCACTCTCATAAATCTCCCATAATCTGTGTCATTCCTTTTTGTGTTCTGCCACTCCTGGAGGATGCCAGAGAAATACAGCATCTCATTCCTCAGGCCTTCACGAGCGGGGAAGGAAGAACTGGAGGATTGTGCTCTTTTCCTGTGGCGAGATCTAACAGAATGGTTGGCTTTTAATCATTGCTCCCAATTACCTTAAATCACCCACAACATAGCTTCTTATTTCACAACATAGCTTAGGATGTGTGAAATATAATGTGAAATCCATCATACACAGAATACATCATATACCTGTCATGGCTCTGGTTTCCTATAAAAAAAAAGACCTCCATCCCTTTCATTTCAACATGACATATTATAGTAGCGCTGATCAAAATCATCAAGTGATTCTAAAAGTAGCAATTGGAGCTGTCCATCATCTCACTGTTGCGAGCCTCTTTAAAATGAAAAACCCTTTCATGTCACTGAACCAAGTTAATTGGCAATAAGAAAAAGGTCCTAGATGTTGATTTAATTAAAAGGCTATGCTTGACTTTTTTCTTTTTCCAAAGAAAATTACGATAACTCCCCAGCTGCAATTGGCTGTGCTGACAACGGACGCAAAACATAACAATAAATCTAGTATAAATGAGGATAAATGGCATTAATGCGTACCGCAGGCTTAAACCAGGTACAAAACGAGTCAATCCAGATCATTTAAGTGAATTTAAGTGATCAGTTTCCTTCAGAGTTCCTTTAACTGCAGCCCTTAATTGAACTAATTTGTTGTCTGGGAACTCAGCAAGAAAGAGCTCTGGCCATTCATCACCCTTCAGATGTTATTAACTACATCACCCAATTAAGCTGCCCCCCTTAGGCTTCATTTACTCACTGACATTAGCTCATGTGACCTGCTCTTGTTAACAGCACAGTGGAAAACGTGATATTCAATTATCAAACACTTCCATAGCAGCCAATAAAAATAAATGTTGCCAAAAGCAATTTGATTAACTTGATTGCACGCTTCGCTTCACTGTATGTTTGCGAGCTCTGACACGAAACCCCTTTAGACTTCAATCACATCCACAGATAACGCTGAAAGTTGTTGATTTTAAGCATGACAGACAGGTCAGACCAATCTTTAAGCTGTCTTAAGACATTCAGACGCGTTCATACATGTTTGTTTTTCTCAGTGCAAAATGTACAATACTGACTGGAGTAGAGAAACGTGTAAAAATAAATCTGAAAATGGTGAGCCCCAATAACCAATGGCAGCTTTGAGAGAGACCAGAGGTATCAGGAAGTAACTGAAAGAAAAAATATTTGAGCTTTATAATTTACCACCAGTTTTCTCTGGAAAGAAGACAGCCCATGCTGTCCAGATCTCATGAGCCCTTCTTGAATTCACTTTATAGTCCTGAATTTTTTTGTTTCATTTTCTGGCACAAGTGCTGAAAGCTGCTCTGCATTCCCAAGTTCCATTTAAGCACAAACAGGTGAAAAACAAAGTCATGTTTGGCATGATTTCCCAAGACAGGGAGATATTGAGGCAAGAAAAGAAAAATATAATAAATAAGGTTGTGTGCAGAGAGATTTTAGATTCATCACTGCAGCTCAAATGTATTCTTCCCTTGCTTTCTTAACAACAACTGTGCTACCACAGCATTTTGTTAACAGGTGAATGTGTATTTTTTTTGTAACAGTATCACTCCAATCACACATAGCTATCTACTTTATCCTTTCACTTGAGCACCCACAAAGTGCTAGAGCACTAATTTTCAAGAAGAATAAAGTGTCACAAAATTTGTACAGTAGGTGTTACTGAACAAATTTATGAAACTTGTTGTTTCACATTACAGATTACATTACAGGCGGAGAACTTCATAGACAATGAAAAAGGACTGCACAAAACAACAGGATGACAGTGGATTACGTTAAAGTAAACATAAATATAGTGTATTTATTATTTATGTCAGTTAAAATTGAGACAACACAGCCGAATGTTTGCTACAGTAAGATCTCCCCTTTGCCTATTTTTTATTGACCTAATAATAATAAACTGACTGGAACTGAGCAAATACCTGGTAAATACACATGGCTACTGTAACAGTAGTCACATGGCTCCTTATAAGAACGTATGATATTCACTGTGTTGGTGATGTATCACCATGATGCTATGATAGCTGTTGCGAGTCAGACACTATCTCAACTTATCACATGCAAATGGACAAAACACAAGCAGATAAAGACAACATATCCACCAATTCTGATTGCATGATTCAGATATTACTGCACACACTTGCTGTAGCTTTTGTAGCCGATGTAGCATATGGGTTGTTGGCTTCCATGCACCGCAAACCATGGCAACAACTTGGTAATGTTTACTGTAGTTGTGTTTTCTGTATGTACAATGATGCCTGTATTTATAGCACATCGCTGTATATGAAGCGCAGCTACATTTGTGTTGCCAAATTGGTGAAAGTGTTTCTCGCCTTACTATGTGTTTAATGCCTTTGCAGTGTCTTTTTTCCAAATGTTGCATATGTGTTGTTGGTAAATCTGTTTACTTAATTTACTTAAAATGAGTTGGAGTGTGTTCTCTCAGTGTTGCCATATCCATCCCCCATTAGTCTCGACTTACCTGAGACCGTTACTGTATATTCTTAACCAACTTTCTGTTGCAGCTGTGCGCACTGGGCACCCGCCTTAACACTTCATACATCCGCAGTAATGTGTGCAAACACATACCCTTCCCAAGGTGTGATTTGTAATCCATGTATAATTAATCTAACCTTGGTGACACCCTAATATATTATTAGAAAAGATCTCCCTATGGTACCCTCAGGCAGAAAAAAAATCCACTGTTTCATTTTTCATTGTGCTGTTTGAGCGAACAGGTGGTCCATCTATCGATTTCCCTACTTCACTCCCATGAAAAAGACCGTGGTTAGATTAATGTCAAGCTCAGGAGCCACAGGCCGAGCGACCCAAAGGTTCTTTCCTTTTTTTTACATGACCATGTTCCAAAGGCAGAGCAGCTCCATAATACAGCTCAGTGAATGTGTCTTTCCACCCCCTGTACGTACAGTAAGTGTGAACTATTAGTGTGTGTTTTCAAGCTTCTGGGCAGGTGGGATAAACACTTTTGAGGGTTTCTTTCCCACTGTAAGAGTAAATGCTTCATGCAATGTGCTACCAGCGACTCAGGGCAGAATATGACTCATTTGGAGTGGAGAGATAATTAGACAACAGATTGGAAAACAGTCTCTGTTTAGCAGAGACAAATAAGCCCTGGAGCTCAACCTCCAAGGTCATGCTGCTTCAACTCTCGAAGAACAAAACATATACACAACAAAACAAAAGCCAACCTCTGCTATAAAAGATCACTGGGTTTATCAAACACAAACATTTATAAAAAGGCAGGGTTTGGTTTCAGATGTAATATAATTTCAAATCCGTCAAATTCTGTCAAGGTAGAAATATGAAATATGAAAATGCCACATCTTACAGGATGAAGCACTTAAATGGCCAAAGGCTAGAACCTGGATAACGATATTCCCCTTCAACTATTCATCATTTGATTTCACTCCTTCACCTTCTGGTTCCCGGGTATTAAATAATACATCATGTTTGATACACGTAGGCTGACTTACTGATAAAGCGAATAATATTTAAAAAAGCAGACCACCTGCTGTCTTTACGCATACGTAGATGGAATATTCCCTTTTGTATTTTCTCTAGTCAGGTTCAAGGCTACTAGTTCCCATGAGAATATCACTGTTAAGGTTGCCACGAGTGGCTGTCTTTTGTTGCCCCTATTTTTTCTAATGTGGTCGTTTCTTTGAACATTTCTCCACAGTGTCACTTATGAAAACTCAATCCCCATCGTATGTCAAGTCAATTCTATCTGGGCTGCATGTTCTTGACATGCGTGTTAACAGAATAAATGGTTCAAGTAGAGGGTCACCCATCCTTTGAATAATATAAAAATATACCAGACCTCCTTTGCATCCAAATGGAAGAGCGTCAATTCATGGCGGCTGCTATGAATTCAGATTCAGATCACAAATACTCTAAAGTGACCTTTTATGCCTGATGCCCATCAAAACAACCAGTCAATGTTTTTTCATCTTTCCAAATGTATTATTTTAAACAGATTTCAAACTGAAGGTTGCTTAACCTCATTAATGTTTAACCATGGACAGGGTTCATATTTATTTTAGAATATAGAATTTTCTATTTGGTCTGCAATCAATAATAAATAGCACAGTTAAAAACAACACAATAGCATAACTTTAAGATTTCTACAGTCCGAAATAAGGCGTAGCCTGAAGTTACAGCTTATAACGTCTTCTCTCTGGTATCTGTGGATGTGATTGAAGTCTAAATTACTTCAATAGGTAACACTGAACTACAAAAAAATAAAGAAAAACACAACAAACAATCAAAACTAAACAATACAACATACCAAACTAATTCCTCTGAAATTATATAGACTTTCTTTGCTGTTAAAGATTCCCTTCAGAGATGTTAGGATATATAAAAAAATTATCTGCTTGGAACAATACTGTGTGTATTGTAGTATAAACACATTAACATCTTAAAAAAGGCATCTATTGCTTCTACCTCCTTAACAATACCTGAAAAATGATTATGTAATTTTGTTTCTGTATATGTACTGGTGGCGTTTCCACATCACACAGCATACTGCAGCAGGTTTGGTCAAGCTTTGTATTCATACTACATAATTTATCCATCACATTTATCATCTATTTCAACGTGTCTGCTTGCTTACAAAAACAATTTTTCTATGCACTCTCATTTGCATCATAAGATGTTCAGGTTCTGGGTTGGCTGGATGTATTCCCTGTGTAGTTGTAATAATGACTATATTTTACTATGTAAAATTACTAAAGATCAGCATCAAACCAATCGGTAATCCTAGTTAAGCTACTACACAATCATACCATCATATCATTATATTTTTTTATGTTTACAAATACCATCACTCTCATAAATTTCAAGCACATTAGCTTTGGAATCCATGTTCTTTGACAGAGAGGTCGATATAATAATCTTGATCTACAGATAAAGACATGCAAAGCTAAAAATCTATATTTCTCATCTATAAATGATGTATCTGGAGGGTATCATTTTCTTGTTCTTACTCAGCTTTTTTTCTAACAGCTGCCCAAATTGGTCATTAAAGTGAATTCCATCGCCTTATTTAGAAGCACACCATCAAAGGAGCCATATGCACAACAGCTCTATAATGGTTGTATATAATCCAGTGCCCTTTAACACTACGCTGAACACAAAATGAGGTGGCAAAAATAAATCTAATTACGCAGCCATACAGCATCAAAAGCCATGCCTGCAGAGAGGGCTCCAAAGAACAGGGCCAAGAAACAAACACAGGAGGACTCTAGCTGCGTGTTTGGAGATAGGACAGAGGAGCATACTAACAGCAATTTCCTGTTTTTATACACAGTTATATTTACATTAATTATTAACCATTTGACAATAGAGGTGGTAAAAAAAAAAAAAATCATATAACCCCACAAAATGTAAGAGTATGACACATTTGCAAATTCATTTTAGATAATGAATAATAACCAATTCTCCACGCCACATAAGAAGAGTTGGATTTTCACTTTAATACAGGAGCCAGAATAAAGAATACCAAAAGGTTTCAGACGTAACACCCTCTATATCTGTGCTACAAGAGTTTTCTACTTTCTTTTATTACGTGCAGTCTGTTCTCCCTTTGTTTTTTTTATGCCTGCTCTTTGTCTTTAATGGCATTAAGAAATCTGCTGTGACCTTGTGAAAAAAATAATTTGAACAGCAAGAAAGTACAAACTTCACTTAAATTCTCAAATTCATTTAAACTATACAACAAATCCTTGACACTGAATCAAAAAGATTCTGTACACTCAATACTACATGTTGTATATTGTATTGTAACTGGCCATAAAACTGGCCATTTTGTTCAATGTTTTCATTGTTAGTTCCTTGATTCCTTGAATACCTTCACTATTTGTTCCTATAGTATTATGGGTGAACCTCCAGAAATGCTATCCTATTAATAGCGCTCGAAAGAATCTTCTTGACAGACCCTCCCTGCCTGGTAGATGCCCAAATCTTTCAAACGACAGTTTGTAAAACAGGCTTTCTGTTATAAATGTGTGGTCAACAAGCCCACAGGGAGATAACCCCCGGTGACAGAGTTATTTAATAAGTTTAAGTTATTTTATCTAATTATCACGAATTTCTACTTCTACGTGTTATTTTCTAGTAAACTGACTTATGTGTAAAAGCTGTGGAGTTTATAAGTTAAACTCTTTAGGGAAATTGTCGGTAAAGTTGGCTCTAAGTTTAAAATTCTCTCATGCGACTAGAATCAATGCAGAAATACATTTGAAAAATGTACTACTTTGACTTATTGGTATATTCTTACTTGGGGTTTGAGTTTACCTTATTAAGAGAGCTGCCGTTTTTGTTTAACTTTACTTTTACATGGGTCCATCTTAGCTTATTCTGAAAGCTAGAGCTTACCTAAAATTGCTTTTTACCACAGTGAATTTAGTTTTTTCCAAAGGTCTGAACAATCCTCAACCATCAGTGGTGCTTCTTGGAGATAAGGTAAAACTGAATTTTAGAAGCATCAATGCACTACCTCAATTCTGCACCATGTGCCACTATGTGCCACTATTGGGCTCGAGATGTTCCTTGAATCCATGCCACAAAGAATTAGGCCTGATCTACAAGCAAAATAGCATCTTATCTTTCACTAGCATTAATTTAATGCTATATTATGTACAATAATTCTAATCTATTTGCTTACCAAGATTAAATAGGCTGTGAAGAACTAACAGTTTAGGAAGGGTTTTTTGCTGTCTATAAAAATCTCATATCTAAACACCACAGTAACTTGCCAAGCTCCAACATTCAGCGTTGAGCCTCAAGGCCTGTTAGTGCACATTTATCAAAGTGTATTGTAGTGGCAGGATGCCTTACCTCTACGGGGAACCTTCTGCCATTTATGCTGTGTTCTGAGCCTGCTGATGCATTACTCTGGCCCCAGTGAAACTCCATCTTCTCAGCCTTAAAACGCCCCGGCAGCCCAGCACCACTTACAAAGTAGTCATCCTTCAGGAGAACAGCAACTGGAGACAAAGAAGGGTAAAAAAACACAACAAAGATGGAATCAAACAAAGAATGACAATTAAGTGCAGTCATGCAAAAGCAGCAAAAAGGAGATTATTATTAGTCAAAGACCTGATTGTACAGAAGGTCAGAGTGGCGGCGGCTAATTTTGTTTATTTTACATCTAATATCAAAATCAACACCTTAATTCTCATTATCGCACTTCTCATCTTTTTTTATAATGAAGACGCAATTATCTCATGATCTCAAAGTAACACATTACAATTCTGTGGAGTTCATTCTATAAGCCTCTGAAGATGTGTCTTGTTATCACAAAATAAAAAACAATCTAAATGTTGTCTGTTATAAACTGACACAATGCAATTACTACCTACTTCAGAAAGTGATTAATTTATCAGTCATTGTCTCTTCCTGTGACACTGTCAGTATAAACTAAACTCTTTGATATTCTCTTAAGGAACACCAATGGGGCAATTAAAACCTGAGCTCTGATTTGTTTCAATAAATATGTGAAATGTGCACACTTGTCCTTTTTACATCAACTTTTAACAGATCTCGCATTGAACACAGACTTGGTTTTACTTATATTTTCATTACCACTGATTTTATCCTTTCATTACAGGCTATTTAAGGAACTAAAAAGCTGTAAAATCTGAAAGGATCTGGACTCAGGGGGACATAAGAGCAGCAAGAAGAACATTTTGCTACCTGGCAACCAACAACCTGACATGGTTTGTTTCTTTAAGACCATCTATGTGGGGACTCATTTCATTACTAGATAAGCCAGAGGTGGGAACATTCACTATGATGCCACTGATGTAACCTTAGACAGAGCGCACAGCAGCCTCTTCCGGTGGCCTTGAACATTCCATCCTTCAGACAAAGCCACTCTATCTTTAACTTGTTGCATGGTTGTCTAGGAAGACATAAATACCCTCAAAAGAGAGTTGATCATATTAAACAACATTATCACAGAAGGGATGACATCACAGCTTAGCATTTTGTTGGCAAAAAAGATCCAGCATCAAATGTTTCCAGGATGAGAAAAATAGAATTGCTGTTGGCTTGATGAACACACACTTTCAAAATCCCGCAGTGCCATTTGGGAGGGTTTTCAAGAGTCATAAACTGTGTAGTTTGTTAAAATCTATAGTGAACCATGTGATCCTCCCCTTGGAGTTAAGACACAGACATTACTGCTGTTACGAGCTTTTTAAATAGCACCTTAAAGGTTTACCCTGTCTGCTTTCGTAGAGGCCAACATTTATAAATGTACTGTACGGTGTCATGTAAGGGTGAGTTTAAACTTAGTTCTCCAGTTTTCTATGGCATCTGAAACATCAATATGACAAGGCAAATTATCATCTTCTGCTGTCCTGGCTGAGGTTACATGTTAATGTATCTGTAACCCTTTACCATGTCTACATTTGACATCATTAGCCAGATTAGAGCCAGGGCTCTGTCGGCTGATCCCCCTCGTTACAGGGGGATTTACTCAGCCTCTCTGGATAAGGACAGCCCACTTTTAATCAGCAAACCAAGAGGATGAGCGTGTGGACAAGCAAACACAGACTGTCAGTAAACATGGGTGACAGGATGAACAAGCTGTGCAGACAGTGGATAAAAATCAAGTAAAATGCTTCACCATGTGACAATTACTAGCAGGTATGAAAACGAGTGTGAGATCCGGGAAGAAAGGAAGAAAGACGAGGAGATCTGAAGAGAGAACCTTGTGTGATGAGGGATGAGCTGAGCGCCTGTCGTGAGGCAAGAAAGAATCTGCCAGCAGTATTAACATGCCAGTGCTGCTTAAGCTGATGGCCCACAGTATGAAGGGATAGGTCTTAGATGCAAGAGATTTCCAAAACTGAAAGCATCAAGTCAAAGAGAAAATCAGTCTGCATGGGAAAGAACTACCCATCATCACATGATGACTTTTCTGCAACACATAAACACATAAATATTTACAGGGAGGGTAATAAACTCTGTTTCTGCTGTTGTTGAAGTAGTTTAATTCAGTCTGCAACACAGGAAAAGTCAAGGAAAGGGGATGCTGGCTGGCCCTGGGAGTTTCATTAGAAATGCGGCCCTGGGTGTGTTTGAACCCTCCAACAGTAGAGCAGGAATTAGAAGCTAAGCCAAAAAGACCTTGAATCACAGCCAGTGAAAGAAGGGGAGTGTGTGTGAAAGTAAATCCTTGATCAATGCAAATGTCTCTGGGGTCTTCCGATTCCTCATGAATTTGGTTGAGAGTTGTTTGAAATTTTACTGAGAAATGTTTTGTTGAAGAACGCCGCTTGAATGGTGGCCAATCAACTCGATCGCAAAGTGGATCAAGGCACAAGGGAACGTTGTGAAATCAATCTCAATGAACTTTTAAGATCTATTCACTCAGCTCTTAATTAAAACACTGACTTTTAAATAGTATGAAGGATGTGAAAGCCTCACTGGGCAGGATTTGAACATTTCCACTTCAGCACGCCCTAGTGGCGTCATAAAAAAAAAAAAAAAGAAAAACACCGTGGGAGGCAGCAATGCAAAATTCATCCAATGTAATAAAACCGTATGTATTCAATAATAATGTAGTGGCTATAATCAATATTTTATTCTATATTAGGAATTATTACATGACAAAAAGTGACAATGAGAAAGGGGTCACGCAGTGATAAGCCTGAATCTACAGCTCTTTAGTGATTTTTAGCTTACTGTTTAGTGGTCATTCTCACAATGTTTATAGTGTTTTCAGCCACAGAAGGCAGCTGTTTTCAGCTAAAAACCCACTGTGCACTACCTTCTCAGTACCAAACAGCACACAGACACAGTTAGTGACTATCAACTAGTGACTCAGAGTCAGTGTAGAGTGGGTTAGGACTTTGCAATGCTGGGGGAAAATAATAGCGGGGTCCCACTTTAGGGCTAATAAATTACGTGATATCGGATTGGTGCACAGACATGCGTACTCATATTAATCGATATCGCATTTTAAACAGTATCTGAAATTCCTCTGATACTGGTATTGGTATCGGAACAACTCTAGCAGCATTTGGTAGTTATTCCCCCCCAACCAGATATTTCCCTCAGGACGAGTGAATATTGGACTTTTGACCAGAAACACAGACTCCAAATAAATGATAATGCTGCTCTGTAATCATTGGATGTGTAAATAAACAAGCCCGCCATATCAACCCCTTTGATCATACATACATTTTGTGTCCACAACTTGTGTCCGCTGCACCGGCTAAAGTGTTGAAGTTTGGTACCCAGCCCAACCCTATATCAATCTTTTATAGTAGTCTGTGGAAGCGTACAACTGAGGGACCTAGAAAAAAATAGTCCCAGTCTCATGACAATATAATGAATATGAATGGGCAAAAACGTATATGATGATTGACCCACTGCAGTTACGATGAGAGGAGATACTGCCTGGTTAAGTTTTCATAATACCAAATGTAATTATACAGACCTCTGCTCAGCTCCTGAGGACCACAGCGCTGTGACAACGGCACAACAATGAGCAGGGAGACATTCAGTCATGTTTGACGTCATCTTTAACAATTTCAGTACAGTTCCACAACAAAAGGCTGTTGATTAGGGCACATAAAAAAAAGTTGTGGAGATTGTGTGAACACAAAATATCAAGGATGCCACAAGTGATGATGTGGAAAACAAAAGATGACTCTGAAGGCCAAAGATTCATTTACCGAACAACGCATCACATTCAAAACTTTCAAACAGTTTCCCAAGAACATGAAGGATGAATTTCTGTTAGAATCAATAACGAACACCGTTTTAAAAAAATTTAGTCCATGAACACTTTCATCCACATTTCACAGAAATGATAAAGCCAATAAAACCAATCAAGTGCAGCCCTGAAAATAAAGGTTCAGTAAAGTCTACGTACTGCTTTTGACTTTATTCTCAACTTTGGTTTTCAGACTCTGGAGCAATGGGCATCAGCTAACCAGTTATTTAAAGCACCAGTGTGATTTAGGATTTAGTGGCATCTAGCAGTGAAGTTGCAACTAACTGAACACCGCTAGTGTCTATATTTGACGACCTGGGAATAGGACTGTCACGATACCAGAAATGAATTACCAAAAAAAAAAAAAGTAAATCCTGTGTACTTCAACTTTAACAACATTACTAAAAAAAATAAAATTGTTATCTATTAGAAAATACATTTCCTAATAGATGTTTTCTTGTTTACTCATTTCCTCACAAACTACTTTAATCTGCTCACCCACCCTTCAGTACTGTTTTCCACACATGCACGCACCCGTACTCTGGTCTATGTCACACACACACACACACACACACACACACACACACACACACACACACACACACACACACACACACACACACACACACACACACACACACACACACACACACACACACACACACACACACACACGCCGCCTCTCTCTGTTTTTCTCTCTCTGTATGCACTGGTAAAGTAAACACTGTATCTGCACCATAGAGCGTCTGTCTCTGTGTTTTTCTGCAGTGCATGTCCAACAGTCAGGTCGGGAAGAATTGAATACCCAGTACTTATGGTACTTGCGGTACTGTAGAAAACTACGAGTACCGTCACGTTTATAAAACTTTGGCATCGACTTGGTACCGAAGTATTGGTTCTTGTGACATCCCTACCTGGGATGAGAATGGGCTGTGAAGTGTGTAGTAGGCTGTGAAACTTCTATCTATCTATCTATCTATCTATCTATCTATCTATCTATCTATCTATCTATCTATCTATCTATCTATAGCCAGTGGTTACTGTAGAAATGTGGCAGTTCAGCATGGCAGCCTCTGCAGAAGGCGACCCACGGTGTCAGTAGATAAAAAAGACTCATCCAAGATAGCTGAAAGACATCAATTCCTATATTCAGGTAATTCTAAACTAATGAAAACATACCTATGAATATCCCATTTAATTTCCAATAGATCTAAATGTTACACCTTTAACCAGAGAGCGATCGATCTACCCATCATCATTGAATTGTCCAGATATTTATCATCTTTAAATATTATTCAAACTTGTGTTCTATAGTAGATTACATCTTGGTAATGTAATATTTCATTTATTTTCAATCAAAAATGTGATGTTTCCATGAGCTGTTGTATCTACCCGTCAAATTATGTCATAGTAATTTAGGAAAAACTAATATTAAATCCATTTCGCACAACTGTGAGACGAATTTGCGAAATATTGAGCTGATCTCTTCTAAATAGCGTTTGCGTAATAATAGTTCAATTTTTCTTATTTTTACAGTGCTTAGCAATCTAAAATTCCCTCTGTACTGTTTGTGCCCAAAATTACAGCCAGCCGTGTTATTTCCATCTTTGTAAATAAGCAGCCCGCAGCATCGCTTGGCTGTCCCAGTGGCCTTGGTTGTCATGGAGGCTAACAACTCTCATTATGATCAAACGCAAAAGATGAAACTACTCTCTGAGAGAAACAGTGCCAAAACCAGAGGAGATCAATTAAGGTCAGGGTTTTCACACCAATGGTCTACGGATTAGCTGATTGAGAAAAAAAAAAGGCAATGGTTTGAAGTAGCTGTTAATCAAGGAAGCTTCAAAATGTTGCCGTAAACAAAGCATACAGGCTGATGCAAAGAGGGTGGTGAGAAACAGAGGGGAACAAGAGGCAGTACAATGAAGGCAATGAAAATAAAATAAAATTACTAAAACAAACAGATTGATTTATAAGAATTATAACAGACTGATACTATTATGCGTGATTGTAATCTGCTTCACTGAATTAACAGAGCTTGGTTTTGAAATTTGCCATTGGATGTACTTCAAATTTGTTCAGGTTTTCTACTATATATACAAATTTAGCTTGATTTAAAGAATATCTTTCTAAATTGAATATTATACACTAGGAGTGGGTGATATGGGTCACAACTTTTATTACTTAATATATATTTTATATTACATTGTTATTTGTTAGTATATATATTATGGAAATTCAATTTAAAGCATTTTATAGATAAAATGACCACATGTTGGCTAATCCAGTGAATTAATCCTCAAGGTACTTAATAACAGTGATGCAATGGTCTAATATAACCAAAAGTAAAATGTTAAAAAGGGACAGCTACCTAAAGTTGAATGGTATGGCAACATCTCTTTATTTTCATCCCACAATATACTGCCTTCATATTGCCAAATCTACGCTCATCTTAGTATCATTAGAAATGTATGATGATAAGGAAGAACCGTTACAGAAAAATTTTAATTTGCATTTTCTGATGCAGACCTGTCTTTCCTGTGTTTTTCATTGTGGTCTGGTTGGAGGACTCAGTGTTGAACTTCTCAAGCACCAGCTCCTGGTACTCCTCCGAAACCAAAGCTTGTTCATCTGCAATGTCCACAGGTGATTGGTTCTTCGCAGCACATTCTGGGTATGAGGTTGCCCAGCCTCGAGGTCCATGGCTTCCTGCAGAAATAAAAGAAACAAGAGCTTATGAAAAATGTAGACTAGTCCCCAGAAATCTCCTTTGTCTAAGAATTGGGACTATAACACACACACACACAATTAGAAACATTGACAATATTACAGCAGCAGCCAGTTTTCAATATGCCCTTAACAAAAATTGAGGGAAAGAGGACAATGATTCTTTCATATTCATTCAGCTGCAGTGCCCTCTAAACCCCTCCAACAGCTGGGAAAACATGTAAACACAATGAAAATTCATCATCTGGCTACAGGCAATTCCAGCGTTAATTGTCCATATACGATATAAATATCCAAATGAGGCATATTCCTACAGTACTGCACTTACTGAAACTGAGCCTAGAATGAGTACAGAGTTAATGTGGGTCTATGCCTTGGATATGTTATATATATAAAAAACAATGAAATATTACACCAAATAGGCTTTTCAATAGAAAATACTCCACTTTAACAATCCATGTGCAGTGTGTGCTGCAAACGAACTTCCTGTAGAATCCCCATCCACTGTCTGCTCTTTTAATCCTCTATCCCCTACAGTGGCGCTTCTACAAAGGAATAATCCACAACCGACAGGGGTCCCCTTGATCTCTTCTCGGGTACAATGGGCCAATGCAACAACAAAAGCTGAGGGATCAGGGGAACAAGGAAGCATGCGTGGATTTTAACTTTTCTGGGTTAACACAATATTCATGATCCCATTCCCTACAGATATAGGGCAACTTTGCTACTGGCTCATGAAAATGATATGAGAACTCCTCTTTGCTAAAACACCCTGGATCAAGGGTGGCTTTAATGTCTTGCTATGAATAAACACCTTGCAGCCAAAGACTGTGCTCTGGTCCCTTGAAAAGACATTCATTTGAAATATCCAGTGTTTTACCACGTCAACCAGAGAACAACTGTAAACATGCACAGTGGAGTGCAGACACATAACAGGAACCATTTTATTTCATCTCTACAATGAATATATCCCATGGTTAGTGCACTAAACAATGTTAAGCCTTTGGAAATGTCTCAGATTTGCCCAGTGACTTGAATTAATTAATTGTCAGTTGTCTTATAAACACCACCTGCAAGATTATGGGCTGGTGAGGTCTGGATGGCACGTAAATGTTGGAATGGATTTGAGATATGTTTCCAACTAATGACTGCATTAGCAAGCAGGATTAAATTTGTCAGTCATGGCTTTAGACTTACCAATATGTTTGTACCAGTAGATACCCTCAGTAATATTTCATACCCTGTAACAGAGCCCATTGTGAATAAACTACTATTACTATAAGGCTAGACAAAGCTGCTAGCCAATCATAAATACAAAGGAGGGATTTTATAAAAATGGAATTAGATATTTACCATATTCAAATAAAAAGTGGTCTGTGTACAAAATGTTCTATTTAGCCTTTATGTAGAAAAACATATATATTTAACTATTATCCTTTCCTCCATTCCATTTGATTTGTGCTTGTCAGCCATAACACTGCCATCAACATTAAAGTTGTCTGAGACTCATTTAAACTCAATTGGCTCTGAAGTCCTGTAATGTTGCTACTAAGATCGATCTCACTGAGAATCAAAAACCCAATCAATATGGGAGGGATGAAGAACAAGTCTGACATCTAGCAAGTGAGAGGGAGCTTTTAGTATTGGGAGATGTGAGACCAAACCAGGACCAAAACCCAAACGGGGGGTCAGAATGATGGCTACAGTGGTATTCCCATGTTGCTCACTTGTTTAATGTTTAGTGTGAACATATCACAATTCTTTGCCATGCAGTTTAAAGTCACAACAAAATTAACTTGTTTTGCTTCTGCTGCTCATTTTTATGCTGTATGTTCTTTTATTTCTGGTACTAAAATGAAATAAATGTCTTGCCTAAGTCAGGCCATTGCATTGGCCAACATTAGCTTTGTGCAGATATACTGGGTATCTGTGTATATGTGGGCCGTTTAACATCAAGAACCTTCAGGACAAAAAGTCATTTTGAGATAATTTAGAAACATTGTCACCAATACAATACTGACAAGTTTATTTTTCAATGGTAAAATAAGTATGCATCTTGATCAAAATCCTTTAAAAAAAAAACTAATCTAAAGGATGCGTATTAAGACTGACGTTTATATTGGGTGCCTTTTTTTTTTGTAGACGCACATAATGTTATCAACTCCATATCAGTATAAGCCTCACAATCCAGAATCAGCCTAGCTATAATATGCATTAAGCAACCAGATGGTGCTTGTGAGACAAGCTATATATTAGTTCCTTTGTATACCTATACAGTTGTATTAATTTTCAGAGTATGTCTCTGAATGTTTCTAGGACAAATATTGGAGCTCAGACTGAAACTCTGTAGGGTTAGCTGTATATTTATACAGTTTGGGGAAATACTGTTGATAAAGTAGTTCACACTTGAGGCAGTTGTCAAATTGGTTACGACTTACTGCCATCCCATTTGTGTTTGAAGAAAATATATATTCTCTTTGGCAGAACTGTCTGAAGTACAATGCCTCCAGTTGCTTTGAACATTTACCATTTCCCTGACCGACAAAGTGTGCTATGTGGGCTACCAACAATAAAAAGCACTGAGAACTACTCTGGTTCTCCAGTGGGCAATTTCAACCCTCATTTCCTTGCTTTTCTTCTTCCTCCTCTTAAGTGAATTGTGGCAAACTACAAAAACCTTTTTCAGCTGTTACTGTTATATATAGGGGCTCAAAAAACATGACTGACATATCTCTCAACAACAACATATTCCATAGGTGACACAGATTAGATGTTGACTCAGAACATTAAAGGAAGCTAGACAGAAACCTGGCTAGATGTATTATTGGTTGGCATAAGCAAACATAGGACTAAGATATAAATAAACATAATCAAACAAATGTGTCAATAGTTTATCACATCATAAAAATAAAAAAAAATTGAATATGTAAGTGTACTAAACCCACCAACATGTTTCACAGGTCTCTTTCCTTCAAAGTGTAATTTTTGCTAATTTTCCATTAAAACACACACATTACATCCCATTTACGGCTAGAGAGATAATTCTGCCTTTCAAGAACAGAAAGGGAGGAGCAGCTAAAAATCAGATAAGTGAGGGTTGCACAGCAGTCGATTAATCTGTCTCATTGCCATCCATCAGAATGACTATAATTCTAGTGGTTATCAGGCTGAGGTGAACAAATTAAAAATAAGTACGTGTTTTAAAATGTTGTGGGTTGATTTATTTAAAACATTACACGGCACATTTGCAACAACATTCAGCTTATGGCTATGGAGAGACCAGCTCACACACACTGGGCTGAACGACACATTTATTCTAATGAAAATCTTTATAGGTGCTATCGGGTAATTCATGCAGTATACTGATAGTTTTATATACATATGATGGACAAAGATGAGTGAGTTACACTGATGCTACAGCTCACCTTCCAGGAATATAAAAATCAATAATCAGCAGAATTTATCCGTAACCATTATTGCAAGGGAAACTCAGGTCCTCCATAGCAGTTATTTAGCCTGGTTTGAGATCTCTGAATCACTGCTCACACCTCTGATCTGTTCAGCGATTCAAAGAGTAAATTAAGTGAAACAGAATGATAATTCAGTCTGATTATCAATCCAATTCCACAACAACTTTATAACTAACTATAAGCAGGACACTTGATGCCCACTGCAGGGGCCTTATGTATAAACGGTGCGTATGCATATAAGGGTTGGATAAGCTGGTTTGCACTCACACGGTGGGATAGAATTACGTTATGAAAATGAACATGATGAGAATGTGCGTGCTGTGGTGCAAGCTCTAGATCAGCCGTGAGAGCCACTGCCTCTGTAACTTGGCGATTTAAAATGTCCAAGTATTGAAACTCGCCAAATGTTTCGAAATAATGTTTCCACTCCAGTTACTGTGATATGTTTATGAAAAACCATAATCATGTCATCCACTGATACACCATGACAGTTTGATCATTTATGTGGATAATGTTTAACATCAGAAAGACCAAAACCCAAACAGGAAGAAAATGCAATTTTTCCCACCATCCATAACCATCCTAAATCTGAGGGTTTCTAATGAATAAAAAAAAATCCACTTAGGAAATAGATACAGGCAACCTCTATATCCCCGTATTGTGCACCCTCCGGCTAATTTCCCACAAATGAAATACCTGACTCACTGCGCTAACATCAAGACCGCCCTGGAAAACAGCAATTTTCTCTGTTTACGGAACATGGAGATGTTAACGCACATCTGACACTGTACAGCTGCTGAGACGCACCGACATCCATGAAGCACAGGAGGCGAGGCGCACAGACCCATCTCCCCAGGAAGACAATGCAGTGCCAGGTGGACAAATGCACTCACTCACAATTGTGGCGTGCTTCTGCCACAGGAGCTGTGGATGCATGAACCTGACCCCGGGTCCACCAAAGCAGAGTGCAGCCAGTCATACAGTAAGGAGTAACATACAGGTCTGAGTCACCCTCGCATGTGGGCAGGATGCCAGAGATGAGGGCTTGTAATTGCAATGACCCTTCCTTCACGTGGTGTCTGTTCTGGCTTTCCTGAGCCCACACCTGTAGCAGCGACACTCTGCCGATGTGCAGCCACTCCTCTTTTGACATCCATTTATACATTTTTACATACATCCATACATACATTATCCATTTATTCATACATTTTTGTGAGTATGCCTTTCAGTATGAAAGCTGCGCAGTCTTTTATACATGAGGCCCCAGAACACTACTGCTGCAGATGTGGCTGTATGGTATGTTAGCAGAGAGTGTTAAGAGTGTTAGCATAAAATAAAACGTATTCTCAATTATAAATAACAAATCACTGCTGAAAGTTTGTCTCCATCCTGTGATAGAGACAAACACTCTCAAACTGTCTTTCCAAGTAGAAGGTGGGAAGATATTTGTTTTCCTCTTGTTACATCTGTTTTGACCCAAAGATAATAAGCTGAACTGATGATCTCTCTCGC